AGTTCCTCAATAAAGTACTAATACAGACTAAACCGACTTTTGGCAACGTGGGAAATTTCCATCTTTACTGATTTCTGAAGTTTTCAGCTGGGAAAAAAGGCAGAGGAGAACTCTTCTCATTGGCTAATTTACACACCTCTGATTTCAAACTTGTAACTGATGTGCAGGGCGCTCCCAGTCTGTTCCTCAGAGTCTGGAGTTAGACAGGATAGGTTACATGAAACACAGTGTCTTGGGCGTCTTCAGGCATCCTGTAAGAGGCAAGGGCTGAGGAACAGCTACATTAAGTAGGATGACTAAAACAAATCCTGTTACATATTTAAAATTACTGTTAGGAGGTGACAAACTGTGTTTATGCCCAAGCTTGCATTACTTCCACAACAAGAAAAGGAGCTGGCTCAGGTTTCAGCCTCACTTTTCTTTCAGCCAGCACCTAGAGGCAGGGTTTCTTGCACTGCTTATGCAACTTTCTCACCATGTTGGACCCTTCTGCAATTCCAGAGGAAGCACCTCTCTCCTGATGCCTATTTCCATGCTCAGTTCAGTTAATGGCTTGAGGGAACAGAAATTTCTATGCCCAGCAGAACCCCAAACCAGCCCCTACCTGTGCACCAGATATTCAGAAGCTGAACACTTCAAGCATCCTAAATTACTAAAAACTCCAAGCAGAAAGCTTGTAATACCTTCCGGACAGAAAGACTGATGTTCGTAGTCATTTTCTCTGTATAAATAGCAAGGTGAACTCTGCTCGGGAGGAGCGTACTGGAACTGTTAACTTAAATCACATTCCACACACGCAAAATACTAAGAGAAAACTGTTTCCAACATTTACCAAGCTATCCCTACACCAGTTAATGCTGGACCAAAACACAGTTTAGGCCTAAGTTTTCCAGAGGCCACCAGCTTGGCAAAAAGCGAGGCAATAACCCAGTACATGTTTCTTCAGTCCATTGGTACATTCTCAGATCCTTACTCAGTGCCATCAAAACAAATGAACGAGGCAGCTGCAGGAACTCTGCAAATTCTGGTTATCGCTGGGGTCTGCACCAGTGCTGGAGGTGCTCACGTGCCCAGGTTATTCTAGCCAGAGCATTTGTGCTAGGAACTGTTCTGTGAAAGCCATTCGTGCCTTGCAGAGGTGGCTTTAACAGCTGGGACGCTGCTTCCCTGCAGTCAGCACCCAGCGACAAGCAAACAAAGAGCACCAGGGTGCTTCTGCAGGTGCCAGAGGTGCTCTGCCAGTGTTTGAGGATTCCAGCTGAGAGAAAACGAGACACAAATAGTGTACTCTCAACTAGTTTGTTAATCTAGGAAAACACAGAGAATCTCACAGGTGCAGTACAGGGGGTTTCTGAAGAGTGTACATCTTCCCAACCCCAAGGACCCTGTGACCACCATCAGGAAACCAGCTCCGAGAACCAGCATCGCAGTGCGAGGTGGCAGGCTCAACCTTAGCGGGCGTCCCGCTCAGGCATCATTGACCTGGCTGGTACGAGGTTCTGCCTCCCAGCATCGCATGGGGCTCGGGCTTTTATACTGACAAAAACACACACTCATTCCGAAGCAGGGGCCAGCCTGCGTCGCAACAAGTGGCAGCAATATCTAGAAAGGTCCCCAAGGGTCCAGGGTTTGCCGGGGAGCTCTAAAGCGAAAATTTCCGGATAGGAACCAAAGCTGGACTCTCCAGGGAGCAGCCAAAGCAGACAACCAGTACTTTTCCACCTCTGTGTGTTTCACCACGGACCATTATCTATGGTCCCTGACACAGGTGCCCAGCTGGAAAGCTTTCCCAAATGGGCACCGCGATGCCCCACGCTGCAGCCGTCCCCGCTCCTCCCTGCACACCCACTGCTGGCTGCAAGCAGACACAGCACGGTCCTCTCCCTGCCTACAGCCCTTCCACACAGCTTCATGGACTGCTGGGCTCTGGAGTCCCAGCACCGGTGGGTGGCTCTGCAGGGAAAAGCAACAAGGGCTCTTCAGCCATGTCTCCCCTTGCTGCTCCCTTCTGTCTTTGTGACATCACCATGGTGCAGAACTGGCAGCCCGGTGATATGGGAGAGCACCCGCTGGTACCCACAGTCAGTCAGCGCCAGCAGCCTCTCCTGGCTGACTGTCGGGACTGGGCCTGGTTCTCCAGGGCAGTGGCTGCCGAGCGAACCGTCGGTCCAGGGCCAATAGCAGACATGGAATGGGAGCCGGCTCCCGCACCAGCACCATCCCTTTCTGCTCCGGATGAGCTGGAGCAGTCGGCAGACACGACTGCTGCCGGCCCTTCAGGACAGGGGGAAACAGCGCCCTGTGACACAGCCGGAGCAGCGATGCAGGAGGAGCGGGATGTGCAACCTGCCAGCCAGGGACACGACCCCATCCGAATCCCTCCTCTTTCCAAGAGGAGCAGGGGCCGAGCCAGCGAATTCTCAGGCCTCTGCTTTCCACAGAGGCTGTGGAAGATCCTGGAAAGCAGCAAGTTTCGGTCCATCTGGTGGGGCATGGCAGGAAAATGTGTGGCCATCAATGAAGAACTGTTCCAAAAGGAGGTGCTGGGCAGGGTTTTCTCCACACACAAGATGAAGTCTTTCACCCGGCAACTGAACAACTATGGGTTCAACAAAGTGCACCCAGACACCCAGAGATCGGCCTCCCTGCCTGAATTCCTTGCTGAGGAAGCAGCAGCCTCTTCCCACAGCAAGGTACGGAACTTGCCCTGCACATCAACCAATGCAACCAGGCTTGAGGGTTTCCCGTCCTGGCATGCTGACAGCTAACCCTTCTCCTTTGCTTCTTGCAGCTGCTCTACTACTACAACCCCAGCTTCAGCAGAGAGCGTCCCCAGCTGCTGCAGCAGCGCAAGGGGAAAGCTGCTGTCAAGCGGAAAGCCCCGGGTGCAGCACAGGAGGAGGAAGAACATCCCTCCAGAAGGGCCGATGCTCAGCCTGCAGTGCACAAGCAGGCATCTCCACCCGCCAAGCGACGGCTGAAGCACTTCCTGGCCCCAGCCCTGCCCATCCATCTCCAAGGGCAGCTGCTCCCACAAGCCCAGTGCCTGCCAGAGCAGCAGGCAGCGAGAGCTTCACCCCTCCCAACCTCTGCTTCCCACCACCATGATAGAGTTCATAGATACTGAGTTCCTCAATAAAGTACTAATACAGACTAAACCGACTTTTGGCAACGTGGGAAATTTCCATCTTTACTGATTTCTGAAGTTTTCAGCTGGGAAAAAAGGCAGAGGAGAACTCTTCTCATTGGCTAATTTACACACCTCTGATTTCAAACTTGTAACTGATGTGCAGGGCGCTCCCAGTCTGTTCCTCAGAGTCTGGAGTTAGACAGGATAGGTTACATGAAACACAGTGTCTTGGGCGTCTTCAGGCATCCTGTAAGAGGCAAGGGCTGAGGAACAGCTACATTAAGTAGGATGACTAAAACAAATCCTCTGACATATTTAAAATTACTGTTAAGAGGTGACAAACTGTATTTATGCCCAAGCTTGCATTACTTCCACAACAAGAAAAGGAGCTGGCTCAGGTTTCAGCCTCACTTTTCTTTCAGCCAGCACCTAGAGGCAGGGTTTCTTGCACTGCTTATGCAACTTTCTCACCATGTTGGACCCTTCTGCAATTCCAGAGGAAGCACCTCTCTCCTGATGCCTATTTCCATGCTCAGTTCAGTTAATGGCTTGAGGGAACAGAAATTTCTATGCCCAGCAGAACCCCAAACCAGCCCCTACCTGTGCACCAGATATTCAGAAGCTGAACACTTCAAGCATACTAAATTACTAAAAACTCCAAGCAGAAAGCTTGTAATACCTTCCGGACAGAAAGACTGATGTTCGTAGTCATTTTCTCTGTATAAATAGCAAGGTGAACTCTGCTCGGGAGGAGCGTACTGGAACTGTTAACTTAAATCACATTCCACACACGCAAAATACTAAGAGAAAACTGTTTCCAACATTTACCAAGCTATCCCTACACCAGTTAATGCTGGACCAAAACACAGTTTAGGCCTAAGTTTTCCAGAGGCCACCAGCTTGGCAAAAAGCGTGGCAATAACCCAGTACATGTTTCTTCAGTCCATTGGTACATTCTCAGATCCTTACTCAGTGCCATCAAAACAAATGAACGAGGCAGCTGCAGGAACTCTGCAAATTCTGGTTATCGCTGGGGTCTGCACCAGTGCTGGAGGTGCTCACGTGCCCAGGTTATTCTAGCCAGAGCATTTGTGCTAGGAACTGTTCTGTGAAAGCCATTCGTGCCTTGCAGAGGTGGCTTTAACAGCTGGGACGCTGCTTCCCTGCAGTCAGCACCCAGCGACAAGCAAACAAAGAGCACCAGGGTGCTTCTGCAGGTGCCAGAGGTGCTCTGCCAGTGTTTGAGGATTCCAGCTGAGAGAAAACGAGACACAAATAGTGTACTCTCAACTAGTTTGTTAATCTAGGAAAACACAGAGAATCTCACAGGTGCAGTACAGGGGGTTTCTGAAGAGTGTACATCTTCCCAACCCCAAGGACCCTGTGACCACCATCAGGAAACCAGCTCCGAGAACCAGCATCGCAGTGTGAGGTGGCAGGCTCAACCTTAGCGGGCGTCCCGCTCAGGCATCATTGACCTGGCTGGTACGAGGTTCTGCCTCCCAGCATCGCATGGGGCTCGGCCTTTTATACTGACAAAAACACACACTCATTCCGAAGCAGGGGCCAGCCTGCGTCGCAACAAGTGGCAGCAATATCTAGAAAGGTCCCCAAGGGTCCAGGGTTTGCCGGGGAGCTCTAAAGCGGAACTTCCCGGATAGGAACCAAAGCTGGACTCTCCAGGGAGCAGCCAAAGCAGACAACCAGTACTTTTCCACCTCTGTGTGTTTCACCACGGACCATTATCTATGGTCCCTGACACAGGTGCCCAGCTGGAAAGCTTTCCCAAATGGGCACCGCGATGCCCCACGCTGCAGCCGTCCCCGCTCCTCCCTGCACACCCACTGCTGGCTGCAAGCAGACACAGCACGGTCCTCTCCCTGCCTACAGCCCTTCCACACAGCTTCATGGACTGCTGGGCTCTGGAGTCCCAGCACCGGTGGGTGGCTCTGCAGGGAAAAGCAACAAGGGCTCTTCAGCCATGTCTCCCCTTGCTGCTCCCTTCTGTCTTTGTGACATCACCATGGTGCAGAACTGGCAGCCCGGTGATATGGGAGAGCACCCGCTGGTACCCACAGTCAGTCAGCGCCAGCAGCCTCTCCTGGCTGACTGTCGGGACTGGGCCTGGTTCTCCAGGGCAGTGGCTGCCGAGCGAACCGTCGGTCCAGGGCCAATAGCAGACATGGAATGGGAGCCGGCTCCCGCACCAGCACCATCCCTTTCTGCTCCGGATGAGCTGGAGCAGTCGGCAGACACGACTGCTGCCGGCCCTTCAGGACAGGGGGAAACAGCGCCCTGTGACACAGCCGGAGCAGCGATGCAGGAGGAGCGGGATGTGCAACCTGCCAGCCAGGGACACGACCCCATCCGAATCCCTCCTCTTTCCAAGAGGAGCAGGGGCCGAGCCAGCGAATTCTCAGGCCTCTGCTTTCCACAGAGGCTGTGGAAGATCCTGGAAAGCAGCAAGTTTCGGTCCATCTGGTGGGGTATGGCAGGAAAATGTGTGGCCATCAATGAAGAACTGTTCCAAAAGGAGGTGCTGGGCAGGGTTTTCTCCACACACAAGATGAAGTCTTTCACCCGGCAACTGAACAACTATGGGTTCAACAAAGTGCACCCAGACACCCAGAGATCGGCCTCCCTGCCTGAATTCCTTGCTGAGGAAGCGGCAGCCTCTTCCCACAGCAAGGTATGGAACTTGCCCTGCACATCAACCAATGCAACCAGGCTTGAGGGTTTCCCGTCCTGGCATGCTGACAGCTAACCCTTCTCCTTTGCTTCTTGCAGCTGCTCTACTACTACAACCCCAGCTTCAGCAGAGAGCGTCCCCAGCTGCTGCAGCAGCGCAAGGGGAAAGCTGCTGTCAAGCGGAAAGCCCCGGGTGCAGCACAGGAGGAGGAAGAACATCCCTCCAGAAGGGCCGATGCTCAGCCTGCAGTGCACAAGCAGGCATCTCCACCCGCCAAGCGACGGCTGAAGCACTTCCTGGCCCCAGCCCTGCCCATCCATCTCCAAGGGCAGCTGCTCCCACAAGCCCAGTGCCTGCCAGAGCAGCAGGCAGCGAGAGCTTCACCCCTCCCAACCTCTGCTTCCCACCACCATGATAGAGTTCATAGATACTGAGTTCCTCAATAGAGCTTAGGAGAGTTGACAGGAACTTAGGATAGAGTAGGTTAGATAGAGCCTGGTACAATTAGGAATAAACTATTAAACAATAAGCCTTCCTCAGTTCTCCTGTCCTGTTTGTACAGCACAACCCCAGCAGGAGTTCCTATTTCACCACCCAAACCCAAGCAGAAGCAGCTGATCTGCCACCCCTGAGCCATTGCTGAGAAGATCCCGGCCTGCTTTCTGAGCTCTCGAGAGTAAAAGCCAGGCTGAGGCTCGCACGGGGCTTGCACCCAGAGTGCTTTTCCCCATGACACTGACGCGTGTGAGATTCTCTCTGGTGAGAGATGTTCTCCAAGGCCATGCCTGGAGACCAGGAGCTCACAAATCCTGGCACTCTTCAGGTGACGCGGCTGAGCCATAGAACCCTGGCTCAGGTTTTACCACGAGGAGACAGCCTGTTACTTGGTGACTGAGCTAAGAACCTCTGAGAAGAGCATTGACCGAGACCCAGTTTAGCCAAGAGCCTTTAACTGAAGCATCTAAACTCGATGCTGCTTCCTGCGGCCCTTCCTGTCCACTGGGCAGGGGTTCATTTCTTGGTGAGGCCTGGTTTGTCTCACATGCTGCATGCTCGGGGACAGTCCATGCTTTGCAGTGGTTTATGTTAACCAGCATAAGAAATAAGGGGTTCAGCCTGTACATCCCCAGGAGACACTGAGTGCTAGACAGCACAGTCCCACCATGGAGAGACTGCCCACTGGTAAGATCAGAGAACTGAGTGTGTGACTGCCCCCCTCACACTGAACATCCAGGTGCTAACAGCTTCGCCTCAGCAGCACCCTCACACCCCGAACCGAGCCGTGGCAGAAGACAAGGATATGCTTGCAAGTGCCTACGGGTTTTATTAGCGGTGCCACGGTGGGGTCCCAACCCCACGGTGAGGGTGCTGGGGCGCGAGGCGGTGTCACCCTGCCTGCCCCGCCATGCCTGTGCACATCAGCTGGTGGGGTCCTGAGTGTCGCAGCGGGGCCCCTGCCACATGTCATAGCACTGGCACCTGAACTGCTCAGCCAGCCCCGAGGTGTCATCACTGGACTCCAGGCTCTGGGTCACCAGCCAGGGCTTGCCAGCTTGCAGGTTGATGGCAAAGCGGAAGGGGTCGAGGTGGAGGAAGCCCTGCTTGTCCTCCTTGCGCACGCATCGGCCCTGGCCGGAGCACAAGCTCTGGCTGCAGAGATCAGTGCTGGCTGTCACATTGACGATGTAGTGGCCTAGTGGCCCTTCCACATAGTCCTTCAGCCTCAGGCACATCTCCTGCAATGGCATATGATGTTACAGTCCTGTTCATCAGGGAATGGGGGTTCTCTGAAGGCAGTGACATGGTGCCAACCACCACACTCACCTTGGAGTTGCTGTAGTTGAGGCTGCCCCAGAGGATTATGCCAGCAGCACCCTGAGCTGCACTCTCCCCGATGGTGTTCATCAGGTCCTCCTGCACCCCAGGGAGAGGAAAAGTCAACGCTGCCCAAAGAGCTAAAGATTCCCCGGCACCAACCCATCAGCCTGAGTGGTACCCACTATCCCCACATCCCCATCACCTGGGAAAGGAAGTCGACTGTGCAGTCGAAGGCAATCTGGGAGTAGGGCAGAACAGGGATGCCACCACCAAGGACATCACGCTGCATGGCAAAAGCCTCAGCCACACGATGCCGGACGTAGGCAAGCGCCTTGTTGGTGCCGTTGAGGCAGGAGGGCAGGTAGATGCTGGGGTAGAGCGCCCGGCTGCTCTCCCAGAGCCACCACAGCTCCTTGTTCCTCTGCTGCTCCACCGCCGGGCACATCCCGGTGTAGGGCAGGCTGTCGAAGTCATTGTTGTAGCAGTCAGGGAAGCCATAGAACCCCCAGTAGCTGTCGGAACGCAGGCTCTCACCCAGCCGCAGGGTCTGCTCCATGAAGTTGCGGGCGCTCTGCTCAAACTGCTGCTTGGCCGCCTCCTTCACCAGCTCAGGGGGCCACTGCGGGTGCTGCTGCCGCACCAGCTCCTCCGATTGCTGCTGGTAGATGTCCATGGAGGCCCAGTTGCGGACCCACAGCGGGCGCCACTTCTCCCAGTCGATGACAGCCAATCCTCTGTAGGCAGGGCTGGGCAGGGTGACCTTGATGTCCCGGGTGGCCTGCTGGAGGTGGGCCTGCAGGCTGGCATTTTGGGGGAGACCCCCGTTCACTGGCATCCCCTCAGATGTGTAGTAGGGGAGGAGCCCCAGCTCCTTGCTGTAGAACAGGGTGATGTCCTGCCCGGTGAAGGACTGCTGGTCATTGGCCAACACATCAAAGACCTCCAGGTTGAGGGTAACGTTGTACTTCTCGGCGCAGCGCTCCGTGGGGATGTTCCAGATGGTGACAAAGGGGCGGTTGACAAGGACAGGGCCAGGCCCCCTGGCGCAGGCCAGGGAAGGCAGGAGCAGCAGGAAGACCCAGCAGGACCATCCCAATGCCATGGTGCTGGTGGGCGCAGGATGTGAACTGAAGCAGCCTAGGGAGAGCCAAGACAAAGGGAGACCTGGGCAGACCGGGATAAAGGCAGACCTTTATCCTCCGGCCAAGCTGCCGCTGGCATTAACCCACAGCCCTGTCCCCGAGCAGCGCCAGGCACCCGCGGGCGCTTCTCCCACCTCCTCACAAGTGCCCAACGTTATCAGTAGCGGGAGCCGTGCGTGCGACAGCCCCGGGCTAACGACTGTCAGCGGCGGGCGCGGCCGGGGAGGAATGCGCAGAGTCAACACCCGGTGATGGCCGGCGATGAGCTGGGCTGGAAAGACAAACAGGCACGGGAAGGGGGCGGAGGGCAAGCTCGCGGTGACGGACGTGGGCCGTGCGGAACATCGGCCATGAGCTGGCAGCAGGAGGGCACTACAGGGGGGAAGCGCGCAGCACCGGGCATGACCCGGCAAGACACAGCCTGGGACCGGCGGTGGCACCGGACGGCACCGCGCGGGGAGAGCAGGCACCGCAGGGAGGGCCCGGTTCGGTGCACTCACAGCACGGGCGGGCAGCCGCAGGAGGCACCGCGCGGGGACAGCAGCCGCCGCAGGGAGGGCCCGGTTTGGGGGCACTCGCAGCACAGAACGGCAGCCGCAGGAGGCACCGCGCGGGGAAGGGCAGCGCCCGGCAGCCGAGGGGACACGGCGGGGACAGGGCCCCTCTCGGGGGCACCCCCAGGGCTGTACCCACCGCGGCCGTTTCTTGCCGGTCGCTGTCCGGTATCGCGGGCTCCCCGCGCGCACGGGGAACGCGGGGCGGGGCCAGACGGGGGCAAACCCGCTGAGGGCGGGGCTTGCGGGAACGGGCGTGGAGGAGCGGAGCGCGGGGCAGCCCCCGCCGCTGCCTCCACGTGTGTGGCCCGGCCGTGGCGGCCCCCGCCCGGGAGCGGTGCGAGCTGTGCCCCCCCCGCAACACCGCACACCCGCTGACGCTCACCCAGCTTTATTCGAGGTAAAGCACTTCGGTGTGCGGCAGCGCACAGGGGCTTAGCACCACACAGCACCCGCTCCATGCCCCCATGCCCCCCATCTCTCTCCTTACAACAGGAGAGGCCCCCCCGCCATCCATCCCAGTGGTGGGCACCCGCCCCACAGCAGGGAGGGCAGAGGTAGGGCAACCACACTGTTCTACCCCTCCTAAGGGGCAGCCCCCAGCATAACAAGCTGCGTCCCAGGCAGGGTTATCTTACATAGGTCCCCTACACCACCACAGAACGGGGGTGCCAGAGGGGGCAGCTCAGTCCAAGAGGAGGTAGCACCAGCTTGCAAGCAGCAACAGCCCCCCAAGTCTCAGTGGTGCCAAGAAGTCAGGAGCATCACTGCGGGAGTCAGCAGGCACCTGGCAGCCGCTGCCCTGCCAGCCCTGGTAGCAGTGGCAGCGGAAGTGGGTCCGTAGGAAGAAGGTGTCAGCAGGGGACAGTTGGCCCTCGGCCCAGAAGAGGGGGCGCTGGGGGTTGTCCCCCTCCCGGCGCTGCAGCTGGAAGCTGGTGGAGTTGAGGTGGAGGAAGACGTCAGCGTTGCTGTCCTGGCGCAGGCAGCGGCCCCGGCCCTGGCACAGCGCTGTGCTGCAGAGCTGTGCTGCTGTCGTGACATTGACGATGTAGCGGCCCAGGTCACTCTCCAGGTAGTTCTTGATGATCTGGCACGAGTCCTGGGGGAAGAGGGGTATCGGGGCAATGTTGAGGTGCCCCAGGCAGAGAAACACCCCAGATGGAGAAGACAACCCAGCCTCGAGCCACTCTGGTGTCCTCCCCTTCCCTCATCATCTGCCTCCCCAGGGGCACTCTGACCCAAACCTACCCGGTTTTTGGTGTAGTCAGCATCACCCCAGAAAATGGCTCCGGCTGCACCCAGCGCCACGCTCTCTCCAATGGTAGAGATCAGGTCCAGCTGTGGAGACAGAGCCCAGTTAGTCCCTGCAGACCCCAATAGAGCACCCACACCCCCAGCACAGTGTGCTCCAAAGAGCCTCCTGCAGGGTCAGGGAGGCAAGCCCTATCCCTGCTCCAGGCCACAGGGAGAGGGGACTGTTCCAGCTCCTTGGGCACAAGCCTTCCCAACACTAGCCTTCTCCTTTGGGGCTAAACCAGTACAGCACAGGAGCTGTGGGTTCATGTACCCCAGGGTCCTGCCTGCTGGGATCCTGGAGTCTTGTAGCACCTTCCATACACTTCGTTGGTGATGGCAACTATTTGTGCCAGTCCTGCTGCCAAATAACTGGCCCATAGTGGGGCTGTGCTGTGGGCCCCCACGCTGTGACCCCTCCCTTGGAGGGAAGGCAGCAGGACTGAGCACCCTTCCTGCTCCCCAGGTCTAGCCCCATGCCAAAGGGCGCTGCTCCCCACCCCACATGGACACAGCCAAACCAGTGTGCCAGTAGCACCATGAGGGCAGACACCAGCCTTCAGAGCCACCCCACTCCAGGGGAGCGGATGGCACACAGGCAGAGGCACCACCTCAGCTGACCCCAGAGCCCAGGCACACAGGTTTTGGGACGGTGACATCCCAGTGGCACAGCCCTACCTGGCTGAGCACGTCCAGCTTACGGATGTAGGTGGGCCGGGTGTAGACGAAGACAGGCAGGGAGTAGCCATCGTGGTGCTGCTGTGAGATCCGCATGGCCTCCATCACCCGTGCCCGCACGAACTTGCGGCTGTTGGGGGTGGAGGCCAGGAGCACATCGAGGTAGATGGAGGGGTAGAGGGCCATGCTCTCCCTCCAGAGCCACGCCAGCTGGTCATTGCGCGTCTTCTCCACGTCCGGGCACTGCCCGGTGTAGCTCTCCTTGTTCTTGCTGTAGTCATGGTTGTAGCAGTCAGGGAAGAGGTAGAACCCCCAGAGCTGCTTGGGTCGGAAGCTCTTGGCCACACGCAGGGTGCTCACCATGAACTGCCGGGCGGCTGACTCAAACTCAAACACAGCCTGCTTGTTGGCCTCCTCATGGGACCAGTTGAGCTGCCGCTGGTACACCAGCTGCTTGGACACCTCCCGGTAGATGTCCTTGGGCTTCCAGTTGCGAGCCCAGATGGGCCGCCACTCCTCCCAGTCGATGACAGCCAGCCCCTCCTTGGCGGGCGAGCGGATGTACTTGCTGATGCCCTCCTGGAGGCGTGCGAGGTGCTCGGACAGGCTGCTGTTCTGGGGGACCCCTCCGTTGACAGCCACACGCTGGCTGTTGTAGTAGGGGTAGAGCCCCAGGCGCTCCTTGTAGAAGATGGTGAGGTTCTGCCCCACGAAGCCCTCATTGGGGGAGGCCTGCAGGTCGAAGAGGCTGAAGTCGAGGGACACCTGGAAGCGGGGCTTGCAGTCCTGGGTGGGCACGTTCCAGGCCACCAGGAAGGGCCGGCGGGTGAGCAGGGGGGCGGCCGCTGGCTTTTCGGGGGGCTGCTGGGCCAGTGCCAGCAGGGCCAGCCAGGGCACGGCCAGCGCCGCCGCGCAGACTCCGCGCATCCTGCCCGAGGGGCGCCGGGGCAGCGGGGAGCCGGGGGTCAGCTCTGCCTGCACCGCCCAAAGCAGACCCTGCCCCGAGGCCCCCGCCCGGGGCAGAAGGGCACCGGGGCAGTGTGGGCAGAGCCCCCGGGGGTTCGGCTCCCCGGGATCCCGGTCCCACGCGGCTCCGCCGGCTCCCGGTGCCGCGGGTGCGGCCGCGGCGCTCCCTTTGTCCGCGGCCGCACACAAAGCGCGGGGCGCGGCCCCACTCGCCGCCCGCCTCGCTCCGCGCCCGCTGCCCCGCGGCTCACGCCATCCCCAGCCACGGGCTCCACCGGCGTCACCGCCCCCCGCCGCCGCTTTTAAACCTCCCCGGCGCGCACCACCCGCGGGGGCGCCGCCTCCCGCCACGACCGGCCCCGCCCCGGGCGCACAGCGAGACGGGCTGGCGGCGCGGAACACCGCAGGGTCCCGCGGGTGCGGGCCGGCCGCGGACCCACACACGCACGCGTCCACCTCCGTGGGGCCGAGGCGCCGGGCAAGGCGCGGCCGCCCCCCTGTCCCGCCGCCGTTGGTACGGCCCGGGAGGCCCCGCCCCCCACGCGGCGGAAGGGGGCGGCGTGGCTGGGGTGCCGGCAGGGGGCGCCGTGGGGCGCGGGGGGGGCGCAACGGGCTGCGGGACTCGACGGCTTGGGGGGGGGTTCAGAACGGTGGAGACCCCAGGGCGGGGGCACCCCGAAATGGGGGGGAGACGACAGGAAGGCGGATGGGGCCCAGGGTGCTGGTGACCCAGGATCATGGTCACTCTGAAACGGCGGGGACACCAGGCTGGTGTTCCCGGATCGCTGGTGACCCTGGAACCACAGTGACCCCGGCACAGTGTTCCCTAGTCTCATGTCCCCTAGGCTCATGACCCCGGCACAGTGACCCCTAGGCTGCTGTCCCCAGCTCATGTCACCAGAGCAGCAGTGACCCCAGAGCAGTGGCAACCCCAGAGCAGCGGTGTCCCCAGGGCAGCGGTGTCCCCACCACGGTGGTGTCCCACGGTAGCAGTGTCCCGGAGCAGCGGTGTCCCTGGGCGGTGCTGTGCTGGGCAGGACGTCCTGTGCGGGGCCGGGGCAGCCGGGACTGACTCAGCAGCAGCCCCGCAGGTTTCCTGCCCAGGGGGACAAGGGGCAGCAGGCTTGGGGGGGAGGGTTTCCTTCCCGGGGCACCGCTGAGGCTCCGGCGGGGCCCCCCGGGTGTGCAGCAGGACAGGCGGTGCTCAGGGCACAGCCATGTGGCAGTGCCCGTGTCCTGCCCATCCCCTGCTGCTCTGGCTGTGCCGTGCCAGGGGCCATCGGGGTGCCCCTCGGAGGAAGCGCCGGGGCTGGAGCCGAGGGTGTGCCGGGGCCGGCGGGGGAAGGAAGCGGGGCTGAATCTGCGGAAGCGCTCCCCAGCCACCCGCCTGCTCCCCGGGGAGTGGGTGGGAGCGCTGAGCCCAGCATTGTTCGGTGCTGGCCACCGGTGCCGCTGGTGCTGAGCCCAGGGCCGCGGGCATCCGCAGATGGCTCCTGTTAGTGGGACCCGCATGGGTGTCAGCTTTGACTGGGAAGCTCCCCCTGAGAGGGTGATGGTACCACCACGGTTGTGCACAGCACCCAGACCGAACCCAGGCTGCACCCAATGGCTTGGCCCAGCCTGCAGGCAATGCCAGGCACTGGGTGGGAGAGGGGCAGGGAAGGTCGTCCATGGGCCAGGCGTTCGTTGCCAAAACCATCGGGAGAGATTGTGGGCAGCCAAGAAATCCCAGCGCCTGCGGGCACTGCCCTTCCCCTGCGGGCAGTAAACAGGCTCCCAGAAATGCCTCAAATTTTCCATCCTCCGCGGCCTCATGTGCTGAAGGTGAAGCCCCACCAGCAGCAGCCTGGCTGGAGGGGTCACAGCTTTCCACTGCTGCGAGGGCTGCAAGTCCTCAACACAACACAGCTCCTCACTGCTGGGCTCCTTGGGAGGACTGGTTGCTACCTGCTCCAGTTTTCCTCCTGCCTTCCCACAGGGAAGGCCTTGGATTTTGGGAGGGAGCAACAGGACAGATGCAGCCTCCCCTTCCCCATCTCACCCCAGTAAATGCGCAGTGATTTGAAGCTGTTCCCAGCCGGGCAGAAGAGGAGAAAGGGGTGCAGGGCAGCGGCTGGGGCGAGGCAGCAGAGTGGTTGAGAATCCCCCGCCGGTGCCAGTACCGGGCTGTTAGTCACATCCGCTCGTGCCAACAGGTCCGGGCAAGGCGTGAGGAGTTCAGCTTGAGGGCAGAGCAGCGGCAGAGCCAGGAACTGAGGTTGGCACCTGGATGTGCCCCGGGGCTGGGGGCTGCCCTGCAGGCAGCAGGATGGGGATCCACTGGATATGGAGCTGCTCATGGGGTCAGGGAGCCACAGCCACCGCCTGGGTTAACCTCACCGATCCGTAACGCCCTGTGCAGCCACCCAGTCCTCCTCGAGGTCACCACGATGTGTCCCTCCTGGGGCTGGGGGCTCTATGAATCAATGGGCAAAGGTCCCAGAGCCTCGTCTCCCGCCTGCCGAAGCGCTGGCAGGACACACCGCACCGCTCACTCATTACAGCCTTCGTCAGCGGCTCATTTCCGAGCCGGCTTGTGCAGAGGAAATGATGAGAGGTGCCGGTGGCCGCAGGAAAACACTTGCAGGGCTGGTGGGGACAGGACGTGGGGCACAGTGAGATCACGCTCACCCATGGACAGCCCGCAATGGTCAGGAACGGGCGGCAGCCCGGCGCTGGGTCACGCCGGGTTGAGAAAGTCGTCAGGCCCCGGTGATTAATGAGGCAAGGATTTGGCAGGAACGGTGAGGAAGGAGCGGACAGGCGGATCCTGCCCCCCCCACTGGGCTCACGCAAAGGGATGAGGAGAGGCTGCCTTGAGGTTGGGCTGCCCGGGTCTCCCCCGCTGCCCCCCACCCCAGGTCCCTCCAGACCTCCCTCCCCACATGGGAAGGCAGAGAGACCCAAACAGGAACATTACATATCTATGTAAACACACTTTCGTTGTGCATTTAACAAGCAGAGTCACAGCCTGACAAAGCCACCAGCTCCTGCAAGCACCATGTGCCAACGAGGATCCCCTTCACCACCGGTTCAGCCACACAAGCACAAACCCCCCTAGGCTGGAAAACGAGCAGGCTGGACATGCCAGCAGCACAGAGCAGAGCTCAGCTCCCCTCAGCTCACCACCATCCCCATCCTCTGCCCTGCTCCCCAGTGAGACAGCTCTTGGACTTGCGGGCTCTACAAATAATTTTATTGAAATTTAACAAAAGTGGACAGATGCACTGGCAGGAAGGACCATAAATAGTGTACGTTCCCCAAGCCCTCGGGCCCTACCCCGCGCTGGAGGAGCGAGGAGCCTAGTGTCAGTGAGTACGGTTCGGATACACATCCACACGGGACAGCACAACGTCGCACGGAAATCGTAAAAAAACCAGAAGAGAACCAAAAGGAAAACTTTCCTTTGTTGTTTTTTGTTTTGTTTTTTCGCTTGCTCCAACACCACAGTGGACACAGATACTATTTACAGCGACCTTCACATTTTTAAAACCCCTCCATGCGCTCCCAGGGCCCTGCTGCTGCAGGAGGGGAGGCCTGGGGGCTGGCTGCTCAGGGACCAGCCTGGGAAGAAATGGGGCAGGACGAGGCTTGTTGGCAGCCTGTGGAGATTCGCTGCTGATCAGCAACATGGGAGGGTGGGAGAAGATGTGTTTTAGGGGAAACATGTTTGATGCCCTGGGGGAAGGGTGGACAGCCTGTCAGTGAGGACAAAAGCATGCTTGCTAAGCTGGTCTCAGTCTCTTCTGCCCCCCGGGGTCCAGGCCCTGCCTTGCCAACAGATTTTTGGGTGGTAGCCAGGCGAGGGGCTCCCTGCTGGGGCAGGAAAATGGCACCAGCCCTCTCCCCATTCCTCCTCTGCCTTTCCCCGTACCCGAGGAGGGTTTGGTGCAGCTTCCCATGCCCTTCGACCAGCAGCAGGGCAGCCTGGCCATGGCTTTCTCTCCTCTCCTCTTCCAGGTGACAGCAGCCCCTGCTCTCTTGTGGAGCCGGAGGCATGGCTTTCCCAAGGAGATCCAGCCCAGGAGAAACTCGAGAGCAGGTGGTACGAGTGAGAAACACTTCAGTGGGGACTGTTTTAAGACAAGGCTCTTTCAAGCAAGCAGCAGAACAAAAGATGTCGGAAGAAGCACCCAGCATCACAGTGTAGACAAGCTCCCTGCCGGAGCCCTGCCCTCCTGCTTCCCTGATGGGTGGCAGCCAGCACATCCACTTCACCCTCCGTGCTCGCTCCTGTCTATGGGAACAGTGGGTGGGGGACGTGGAGGGAAGAGGTGGTGACAGGAAGACAGCAACAGCCACACCACTGTTATCTCCCCGAAGCTTGGAATGTGGCCCCGTGCCCGGGCAGCTCTGGGTGGGCGCGGGGTTGGGTACATCCAACGCAGACGCTGACAGGGCTGGCAGCCAAGTGCCAGCAGCTTAAATTAAAAATCGAGGTAGCAAACATCTGAAGTGCTTAGAAAGTAAATAAGTCCTGGAACGAAAGAGGAGAAAGGCCGAGCTGGCTGCTGCGGGGAGCAGGCTCTGCCCCTGCTTACAGCTGTGCCCACCACCAGTCCTCCTCCACCCGCCTGGTCCGGGCTGCAGAGCAGACAGACAGTGGCTGCTAGCACTGGCAAGGACTGGCCAGGCCTTCCTCAGGGCTCGCACGCAGGGATGAGAGGTCCTTTCAGTGCTGCCAAGACAACCTCAACCTTCTCAAGCATGAGGAAAGAGGAGAAAAGAGCAGTACCTTCCGAGACAGAGCAGAAAGCCTCCCTGTAAAGTGCATCGTGTTTCTCCTACCGCCAGGTGGGATGCGGGAGGAACCATAGTTCACATTGCCAGGGAGATTTCCAAGCCAGGACCAGCACACCAATGGATTGTTTTCAGGGAATGGGGAAGGAAGAGAGGATTTCCTTCCTGCTTGGCCATGTCAAGGCCCACCCCACCAGGAGGATTGTCCAAGACAGTAGCAGGGAGTGAGGATGTTATGAGGAGATGCCTTGCCCAGCAGCCCAGCCCTGCAGCAGGTGAGGGACGATGCTCAGTGGGAGCTGGTTTGCTAACAAGAGAGGCAAATCCACTGCAGAGCTGGGGACCCTGCTGCCACCAGCAGCAGCCACAGACCACAAAGGTCTCCTGCAGGCAGAGTGACCGCAGGCAGCAGCAAAGCCAGCCTTCCTGGAGCAGGCATAAGCAGGGAAACACAGAGGGAGAAGAGACCGAGGTCCAAGTAGTGGCATCTGATCCCCGTTCCCTTCCCAAGAGGAGCGCAGCAGCCAGCCAGATGTGCTTCAAGACCAGTCCCTCATTGGCCTGCCCCATTTATCCTTCATCAGTGGACCCATCCAGAAGAGCATCACATACCACCCGTGGCAAGCAACAAGTGGCAACACTGGCCATCTATCCAGCAGGCCCGAGGGAGCTTGGGGGCCCAGGCAGCACGTTCCTTTGCCCTGGCTCTCCCTGGGCCACATACCTGAGAAGCAGGGGATTTTCTCTGGTGAGAAGTGCAGGCTCGCTCTCCCTTTAACAGCTCAAACACAGCAGCTCGTTTGCAGTTCCAGTTACCCATCGAACGTCGGCTAGAGGCTACAAAAGGTATTTTTTAGTCTTCTGACTCAAGCAAGGATGTTTTTAAGCGGTCGTTGCACAAGGTCACCCATCTCCTGCGAGGAACGGATCGCCAGCCAAGCCAGCCCAGCCTGCTCCGTCCTGCCTCGCTTCCGGGCGAGGGGAGAGCAACGGTCCCTGCCGCACGCCCAGAGTCCTCCTCGGGTGGGAACGCAAGGCAGCCTCGCCTGGTGAGGCTGGGGGCAGTGGGGCAGCAACGTCTGGCAATTCACACCTCGCAGATGATCACCGGGAAATCCACGTGAATGCGAGGGTGCTCTAGTTTCACTATGCCCTGAAAGAAGAGTCAGAGTGGTGAGTGCAAGAGAACACTGGAACAACAGCCCTGAGCCCTGCCCTGCAAGCCACCTTGTGCGAAGGAGGGCGCTGCGCCCTCAAGGAACAGCAGTCCACAAAGCACCGTGACACCGGGTACGCCTCAGCAGCAGCATGCAAAGCCAAAGCACTTTGCCCTTCGAAGTCCTCCCTGGAGAGGCGAGGGCGACAGGGCTGGCTGCCACACATGGCGGGTCCAGAGCTCAGCAGGGCGAGAAAGGAGGGAGCTGCTCTGCCAGGCACTGCCCGTGCAGCAGCTGGTGCGTGACTGGCAGATATTGCCCGTCTGGGCATTTCATCCGGCACCTTTCATTCACAGGATTTAAACGAATGAAAAGAGCTCTCTGAGAGAAAGCAGCCAGGGCAGCTGGCGCACAAGAAAAGCAGCTTTCTATCCAAAGGAGAGGCTGCTGAATGCACGCTCCCTCCATGCCAGCTACAGGCGCCTTTCCCATGCTCCATCCAAGCCTTCTCCTGTTACTGCACTGGGAGGACCCGCTGGCAGGTGGGAGGCTGGGGGTGGAGGGGGGAACAGGGCTCATGGCTGGGCCTGCATCTGCAGGGCCAGAGAAAAGCCTGGGCTAGCAGAGGGCTGTTAGTGAGTGATGGCTCCTGCTCTTTCCGGCTCAGCCGAGCTTTCCAACAGGGTGAGTTTCAACCCACATTGATGAGGAGTCAGTCCCACAGCCCAGGCCTGTCTCTGCGAGAACAGCAGCCCGGGAGCCCCTTACCCCCCATAACTGCCTGTGCAGTGCTTAGAGGGGTCCCAGCCCACTGCGAGGCTATCCACCCCTAAGAGCACACCAATGGCTTGCCCAGACACTCACTAGAGCTGTACTTTTCTGCTTACTTAGGAAAGATTCCTGCAAGGACTCTCTCCACTTATGCCCCCAGAAGATTCCTTACCTGCAGGCTATCCTTCTCCTGCACTGAGACCCTCAATTTGTGCTCCAGACCCTGTCCAGCTTCATCCCAGTTGCTTGCTTTAAGAGGAGACTTCTGCACTGAGGTGCAGAACACAGCTGTCAACATCTCTCCCACTACCAAGCAGCCAGAGGAATGTGCACACTCATGTCAGCAGGTGATGGGCTTTGACTGATGCTCCCGAAGCCAGGGCCTGGCCCTCCACAGAGACCTGACACTTGGCTGAGCAAGCACAGCTCCCCACACCTCGAGGAAGGTGGCAGGCAATTGAATGCCACAGCCCTGCAGGGCTGCCTAGCACTCTGCACCCCACAACACACACCCAGCTGAGCTGCCTTCCCCAACCATATAAAGGCAGCTATAAAGGACTGGGGCTCCGCTTCCCTCTGGAAAGTGGGGCTGGAGGGCACCACCAGCTCTCCCTCTCCTGCTGCAGCCTCATTAAGTGGCACAAGTGTGAGCCAGGACACAGGAGTCAGGGCTCCGAGGGAGAAGCTGGGTGGAGCTGACAGCCTTTGCCTTCCCCAGCAAAAAGATGCCCCGAGGGAGAAGGCCAGCATGCAGAGGCCTCTGCAAAGCTGGAACTTCAGCTGCTGCGGTGCTGCTTCGGCATTTCCTTTCCCTGCACACTACCTGAGGTATCAGGTTCTTGTGGATCCTCTTCAGCTTGGCACGCTTCCTCCCGTTCTTGGTAACGATTGTCTCCTCGTAGAACTCGTGAGCCAGATCCCCATCCTCATCGTAGTACATGGAACTGCCGAGAGGAGATGGGAGGCGGCCAGGTGAGAGCCTGCCGGCCGCTTCCGGCTTCCCGTGCCCGAGCTGGGCCCGCCTGGCACCACCAGTCCTGCGAGGCCCGCAGCGCCCCCCGCTGCCGCGGGCTGCCCTCCCGCTGCCCCACCGTGCAGTGCTCGTGTAGACCCCTCACCGGAGCCCCCTCCCGCTGCCATGGCAACCACCGCCCCGGCCTCTCACCCGCGGCGTGTGAAGACGAACGGGGTGGCTGCGCGCGCGGCCCGCGCCCGGGCCAGGGCCTGCTGCCCGCCGGCACCCTCAGCGCCGCCGCCGCCCGCCGCCGGGGAGGCGAAGGGCCACAGCCCCCGCGACTTGGAGCCGCTGGCGCCCATGGCGGCGGCGGGGGCGGCGGGAGCGGCCCGGCGACACCGACCGAGCGCCTCCCTGCGTGCGCCGCCGCGACACTTCCGGCGCCCGCGACACCCCCAGCACGTGACCCGGGAGGGGCGGGGCTGACTGCGTCACGTGAGAACTGCAAGGGGCGTGCCCATCTGCCCGCTTGGCGCCGGCGGGAAGTTCGGAGGCGCGGGTTCGAGCCCCGATGCGGACCAATACCACGTGCGCGCACTCATGGCCCGGTGACATCGGGGGGGTTCCTCGTGTCCCTTCCCCGTACCGGTCCGACCCCTCCCCCCCCCAAAGATAAGCCACAGGCCAGGCCTCATCACCAAGATGCTTTTATTGGTGCTCGACGCCCTGCTTCCCCCCAGGGACACCCATTTCATCCCGAGGACACCTACTCCCCTGGGGACACCCATTCCCCTGGGGACACCCTGTCCCTGGGCCAGCCCCATGGGGGCTACGACGGTGGGTCACGGGGTGCCCCACTCCATCCCCCCTCCCGGTGCCCCCACCCGCCGGCAGGCAAGGGTCCCAGTGTGCTGCCTGACCACCAGTGCAGGAGGCACGGTCACCCTGGTGTGTATGTGGCCAGAGCCTCCTGCATCTTCTGTCGGCAGCGGGCGTAGCGGTGCCGCAGCCGGCGCACGTGCTCCTCCTCCTCCCGCTGCAGGATGCGCAGGAAGTTGTGCAGCTCTGGCAGCGTGAAGGCGTCCCACTGCGGGCACACGGGCTGCTGCCGCAACGGGGACATGGCGTGTCCCCCCATGGCCACATACCACCAGTCCCTTCCCCCATCCCCACACTCACGTTCACCTCCCCGGTCTCATTCTCCTTCAGGACGAAGCTCAGCACCTTCTCACTGGGGCCAGCCAGCAGCCGCAGCCGCAGGGGCTGCTCCTCATCAGCCAGCTTCCGTAGGTACACTGCAATGGCAGCCATGTGTCATGGGGGGGACACTGTCACAGGGACATCACCACCATGGGGACACTGCCACTGTAGGGACATCACTGCCACTATAGGGACACTGCCACTACAGGGATGCTGCTACCAATGAAGATGCTGCCACTATGCAGACATCACCACCATGGGGGGGGACACATTGCTGCCATGAAGGACATGGGCATAACAGGGACATTGCTGCCAAAGGGGGACACCACTGCTACAGGGATGCTGCTTCCACGCAGGCATCACCATGGGGACATAAACTGCCACAGGGGATAGTGCTGCCATGAGGGGACACCCCTACAGCCACTTAGGACTGCCAAGGGGGATACCATCATAATAGGGACACTGCCACCATGGAGACTACTGCCACCATGGGGTACGCCACAACCATGAGGGGAAACTGCCACCGTGGGGCCGCAGCTATGGGGACAGGGCCACCCCTGGTACCTTGCTCATCCTTCTCAGACCTCTCGAAGAGGGCGAACTTGCGGGGGTTGTCGATGACAGTGAACTTGCGGAGGAGAGCGTCGATGACCTCGCTGGCACGCGTGTGTGAGAGGATGTGCAGGTGTTTGACGGTGCCCTTGGGCAGGTAGAAGGATGTGCGGCGCTTCACCCCCTGCGTGTGCGGCCCTGACCGCCCTGTCTGCAGTGCGGGGACCCGCTTGGTGGCTGGCACCGAGACAGGGCGCACCAGCTTCAGCTGCACCTTGATGAAGCCGGTGTAGGAGCCATCCTTGTTCTGGGAGACAGCGGTGGGGAGGTGAGCAGGGCCAGGGCAGGGCACTGGGATTCCCCCGCAGCCCCATGCCAGCCCCGTACCAGGCTCATGAAGAGGTTGCTGTTGATCTGGCTGTTGTACTCCTTGATCCGCTGCTCCACCTGCGCCTGGTCCAACTCTGCCTTCTCCCACTCGCTGGGCTCATCCTGCACGACAGCAGCCGGGATGAGCAGGACCCCTCCGCCAGTCCCGGCATCCCGCGGCCCCGAGCCCGCCCCAAACACGGGCTCACACACACACACACACACACACACACACACACACACACACACAGAGGCGGTTGCGCGGGGTTGCATCAGCCCGGCCGATGAGCTCACCGTGGCTCCAGACCGGCACCGGCCACCCCCAGGCCCTCGTCCCTGGGCTGCAGGGATGGGTGAACCCGCTGCGAGGACACCCCTCCCGGCACCCCACATCACAGAGGCGTCCCCAGGGCAGAGCGCTGGCAGCCGCCAGCCCGGCACCAGGGCAGGCACCCCGGGATTCGCCCATGCTGCCGGCACCCCACTTCAAAGCGCCGGCCCCACACAGGGGAATCCAGGCTCAGCGTCCCACCGCCGTCCCACTAATGAGTATTTACATGGGCCGAGGAGCACCCAGGGCTCCTGGCCCCAACGGCCATCCTAGGGCATGCACGTACTGCCGGACCCGGCTGGGGTCCCCACGAGGGGCTAATGCTGGCCCCCCAACCACTGTTCTTCACTCCCTCGGGGAGAATCCAGCCCCGGGGGCCATGGGGCCGCCGTGCCAGACAGCACAGCCCCACTCGCCCCACTGTGCCTCGCTCGCCCCACAGCAGGGCCATGCTCAGCCCCCAGGACAGAACTGCCTGCACCCCATATCTCCCTCACGGCCGGCCAACCACTGCCCCCCCTCGCCTGCCCCCCAAGCACCCCCCCCCGAGTGGGGGTTGCGCCCCCCCGAGCTGACGTCACCGCATCCCCCCCTTACGTCACGCCAGCGGACCGGGACCGACCTGGCGGCGGCGCGGGCGGCGGCCGAGGGAGGTGCGGGCTGTGTAGAAGAGCTCGGGCTCGGAGTCGGAGTCCTCCTGGCTGCAGTACCCGCTGCTGGCGGTGCTGCCCCCCGTGCCCCCCGCGCCGCCCCGCCGCAGGGCCAGCCCCGCCGCCGCCCCGCAGCTGCTCCCGGACCCGCTGCCCCGCGACCCCGATCCGGACCCGGCCACGGGCACGGCAGCGGCAGCGGCCCGGGCCGGCCGCCCCACGGCCCCACCGAGCCCGCGGGCACACGGGCACACCCGGCCCCGCGCCAGCCCGGCCGGTCCCCGGGCTGGGGCCCGGCTCTGTCCGCTCCCGGCTCGGCTCAGCCCGGCCGCGGTTCCTATCCCGGCTCGGCTCAGCCTGCTCCCGGGCCCTGCCCGGGCTCGGCTCAGCTCGCTCCCGGTCCCTATTCTGGCTCGGCTCAGTTTGCTCCCGGCTTGGCTCAGCCCAGTCCTTGTCCCAGCACGGCTCAGTCCGGCCCCGGTCCCTATCCCGGTTCGCCTCAGCTCGGTGCCGGTTCTTGTCTCGGCTCGACTCAGCTCGGTCCCGGTCCCTATCTCGGCTCGGCTCGGCTCTGCCCGGTCTCTATCGCGGTGCCTGTCCCCGTCCCGGCTCGGTTCAGCGCGGTCCCGGTCCCTATCCCGGCTCGGCTCTGCCCGGTCTCTATGGCGGTGCCTGTCCCCGTCCCGGCTCGGTTCAGCGCGGTCCCGGTCCTTGTCCCGGCTCGGCTCCGCCCGGTCGCTGCCGCGGTCCTGTCCCGCTCCCGGCTCAGCTCGGCCCCGGCCCCGCCCCGCCCGGGCCGTGGGGGTGACGCGGGCCGGGGGCGGCGCGGAGCGGCCCCGCTTCCGGCGGTGATTTCAGCCGCTCCCGGAGCCGCAGCTCCAGGCCGAGCCGTGCCGGGGCACCGGGGGGTCACGGAACCGGACAGCGGAGCCTGGGCTCGGCACGGCAGGGTCCGGCACGGCTCGGCACAGCCTGGCACGGCTGACACCGTCCAGCACGGCATCGCCTGGCATGGCACGGCACAACACTGCCCAGCCAGCATGGCCCAGCCCAGCCTCACACAGCACAGCCCAGCGTGGCACATCAAAGCCCCACATAGCCCGGCACAGCCCAACACAGCAGAGCCGGGGACACCATGGGCACAGCGTGGCACAGCACTGCCGGCATGAGATGCCATGGCCTCACCCCCAGCCCGGGCAGCCCCCAGGCTGGCCACTTCCCACCCTCCCTCACAGACCCGGGCCAGGTCCTACCACGTTGGTGTCCTTCTCCAGGGCCTGCTCGTTGCCATCGTCCTCATCGCCAGCACCCGGGGGGCCACTGCAGTCCAGCCGCACCAGGGCCCGGCACCGGTAGTGGCAGGTGAAGCTGCAGTCTAGGGACAGGGATGGGATCAGTGTCACCACCATGGCCCTGGGTGTCAGGGTCACCAGCTGTGCCTGGGAGGGTACTGGTGCCTGGTGGGACAAGCGCTGGTGTCTGTGTCAGTACTGGTGCCTGTGCCAGCTGCCTGCCCGTGCAGTGTGGTGCCAGAAGCCCAGGGAACAGCACCCACATGGGACATGGTGCTGTGCAGGCACCAGAGGGACTGTGCTCCCGGCTTGGGCTGCTGTTGTGGGTGCCTGATGGCTGGGATGCTCAGTGCCCACTACTGGGATACCCAGTGCCTAGTACCAGGCTGCCTGGTGCCAGGTGTGGGTGTCCAGTACTGGAATGTGTGGTGTCTGGTGGGGATATTTGGTTTGGGGCTGCCCACTGCCTGAGGCATGTGCCCAGTACTGGGATGTCCAGTGCCTGGTGGAGGTACCTGGTGTCCAGAGGCCCAGTGCCTCTGTACAGTGCCTCCCGGTACAGGGATGCCCGGTACTCAGTGGGGGTGCCAGTAGCAGGATGCCTAGGGCCTACGGGACGTAATCAGTACCAAGACAGTCAGTGCTGGGATGCTGAGTGCCTGCCTGGAGCAGGTGCCCAGTACTGAGAACCGTGGTACCTAGCGGGGTACCTAGGATGCTCAGTGCCTGCTGTGGGTGCCTGGTGCCAGGGTACCCCTGCCCCGTGGACGTTCCCCACCAGGCCTGCCGGCGGTGGGGGTGCCCGGTGGGGGCTGCCCTGTGCCCGCCGGAGGTGCCCGGTGGCGGGATGCGGGGGCCCGGCGGGGGCCCGTGGCGCAGCGCGGTACTCACGGCGGCACTGGAGGCTCTTCCTGCCGCCGCCCCAGACGAAGTCCCCGCAGAGGTCGCACCAGGTGTGGAGCCCGCGGCGCCGCGGCTCGAAGCGGTGCCCGGCTCCCGGTGCCGCCGTCAGCCGCGGGTCGGGGTGCGCGCCGGGGCCGGGCCGCCGGGCCGGGCTGATGCGCAACGCGTTGGTCCGCTCCAGGCGGCCCCGGCCCGGGCGCGGCTCCGGCTGCAGCTCCCGCAGCTCGATGAGCTCCATGGCCCGGCGGCCGCGGGCGCTGCGCGGCGGCGGGGCGGGGGCCGGCACCGGGGAAGGGGCCGGGGCGGGGACCGGAGGGGCCGCCCCGTCCGGGCACCGCGGGGGAAACTGAGGCAGGAGCGGGAAGCGATGGGGGAGCCGCGCAGCGCCCCGGGGTCCAGACGGGCGCCCCCCGGCCCCGGCGCGCCCCGCAGGGAGGGCTGGAGGCGGGGATGACGCTCCCGGAGCCGTTGCCGGGGAAGGGGGGGCCCAGGTCCGGCAGCCCCGCTCTCTGCGGCGGGACCGGGGCAAGCCTCGCTCCGGGACGCAGTTTCCCAGCGCGGCAGGGGTTTGGGAACCTCTGGCGGCTGGTGGGAAGCAGCCAGAGCACCCCCGGAGAGCCCCTGTGCTCTGCCTGGCCACAGCCGCAGCCGAGCAGCCCGAATCCAGGCTGCGTGGCCGGACAGAGACGGTTTCCTGCCTGCTGTCGTGGCTCCTGCAGCAGCAGCAGTGCTGTGCAAAGCCCGTTTCAGGGTGTGTGAGCACATGGGCTCAGACACCCCATCCAACAAGGGGCTCAGCCCTGGCAATCTTTCCCAGCTGTGCTCAGACCAAGGCTCCAGCCCTTTGGCAGCGGCTGCTGGCTGGGGAGAGGGGGTCATGCACCCCAAGGCAGCGCAGGCCAGCAGTAAACCCTGCAGAGATGCTGGTGAGCAGGGGGGCAAGCTCTCAGTGCTAAGTCACATCTACTGAAGGGGGGGATCATCCCGGCATGATGGCATATCATGAACACCCGAGAAACTCATGTGCTTTCTCAGCGAGATGCTGGTGCTAACCACATCCTCTGCTCACCCCCCCACTCCAACACGGCTGCCAAAAGATAAGAGGTGACATGAAGGGCTTCTCACCCCCTTCCCTTCACAGCACAGCCACAGAGGGCTTGGCCAAGACTTACTGACTCCCTTTTCGGGTTCTCTGGGAACTCTGTTATTACAAAGGGGGAAAACAGGCACACCCCCCTCTCCCTAAGCGCAAGGGAGGGGAGGAAGCAGTTTAGCATCTCCAGCTAGGAGAGCAAGCAGGAGCCAAGCAGCAGCGTGGTGCACAAACAGGTTTATTGGAGAAGGCTGCATGAGGGGTGGCAGGAGAGGCTGAGCCGGGGCAGTGCTGCCCCGGGCTGGGAGCGGGGAGGAGCGGCCTCTACGGCTTCTCTGCCCTGGTCACCGGGCTGCACGCAGAGGGGAAACCCCTGCCTGGGCGAGCTGCAGGCCACACACCAGTCACTTCTTCTCCCCAGCCATCAGGTTGCAGGCAATCTTGTGCTTGTGCCAGTGCTGGACCTGGCATGCCCTGTGGAAGAGAAGCCGCTGCTCAGGGGCTCTGCTGTGATGTGGGGTGCCCAAAGCTTGAGCAGGGGCACAGCAGGGCCATGTCCAACCGCAGGAGTGAAGCAGTGACAAGGACAAACCCCAGCACCATGCTCCTGCGGGCACCGGGGGTGGAGGTGGCAGGGCTGAGCATTATCCCAACAGGGAGGTGGATGCAGCCCCCAGTTGCGGGGCTAAGAGGGTTTAACACCAGCCCTTGGCAGATGGTTCAGGACTAGAGAGCTAATTTACTGCCACCACCCCAGCTGCTACATCTCAGGCTGTCACCTGCACCCACAGAGCCATGGGTGCTTTCCTCCCCACTCATGCCACACCAGGGTGCAGGGGAGGGAGACACTGTCACCATGGGAAGTGCAGCCCATCGCTGCTCTCAGTGTGGGCAGAGGCAGCTGAGCACCTCGCTGTGGCAACACAACCCTCCCCCAGTGTCCTGGCACATCAGCCTTGCCATAAGATGTGGAGAGGTACATGGCAAGTGGAGTGATAGCAGCGCAGAACAGGGAGCACTGGGGGCTGCAGGGGACACAGGGACTGCAGGGCTCCCTTACCGTGAGCAGTACCACTCGTTCCGGCAGCGAGAGCACCGCTTGGCCGCCTCTGTGCCACACACCCTGCAGCGGGGCTTGTCGGGAGCCAGAGCCTCCATCATGTCCAGGCTGTAGGTCTCTGCCCACCTGCAGCAGGCAGAGAAGGGGTGAGCCTGCTCACAGGGAGCTGCTGACAAGCAGCGAGCTGTCCCCACTGCACCCTGTCACACACGGACATCCCCAGCAGTGCCACAGACCCCTCCACCCTCCCAGCTCCATGCTGCTAATGGGGATACTGGTTCCACCGGGCACCCTGTGTGCATGTACCAGGGCCCTACCTGCGAGCCTGGAGCTTCAGCTCCTCCTCGCTGGGGCTGAAGACGCGCTTCACCTGGTGCTTGGCAATGGCCTCCCACTTGCCTGCATTTTTCTTGAGGATGTGGTCCCAGATGATGGGAACCTGTGGGGAGAGGCAGAGCAGGAGGAAGGGGTGCTCACAGCTGTGGTATGGGGGCCTTCAAGGGGACAGGCAGCCCCAGGCATGAGGAGCATGTCCCCCAGGGGGCTGAGCAGAGGCAGCACATGCAGAGAAGGAGCAGGGAGCAAGGGTGTGCTTTTGGGTACACGGATGGAATGGTTCTGCTTGACAATGAGTGAAACGAGGCAAAACCTTTGGGGTCTGGTTGGAAGTGAGTGAAGCCCCTGACTAGGAAGGCCTGGGCTCAGCCCCTGCGTGCCGGCAGCAGTGTGAGCCCCGTGCTCCGGAGCCATTTGCCTGAGCACAGTTTTCCACTCTCCCTTCCCTGAAGGCGAGCACCCAGGGCAGGGCTGGCCAGTGCGAGAGGGAAAGCACCAGCCAAGAGCAGCGTGGGGAGTTCAGGCTCTGGAGATGCTGCTTCAAACGGCGCTGCCTGCTCCAGCAGAGTAAAAATAGCCAGGCCTGGAAGGGGAGGAGGCTGCTCCGGGAGCAACCGAATGGAAAAAGGCCTTTCCTCAGCTTGGCGTGGAGACAAGGAGTGAGTTCACCGCTTTCTGGGCAGAGCAGGGAGCCCCCGTGTGTGCTTCCAGCTGGCTCCCCCTGCCTGCCCCCCGGCTCAGCCCCAGCCCTTGGCAGAAGCAGGAACGGCACCGGCACAAAGGCAGAGCCATGGAGAAGGGCAGCAGCCTGGGCAAGGGCTGGACGAGGTCCCCGGGCAGCAGCTTCCTGTCCCTGTGCCACTGACACGCTGGCAGTTGAGGCCCGTGGAGCTGATCCATAACCACCTCATCCTGCTGCCATCCCAGCCCTAACCACCGGCCTTCTTCTCCTGGCATTTGCCATGGCTCAGCTTTGCATAGGGCACATCACCCCTCTCCTGGGCCTTGCACCCAGCTCTGCTGGGGACAGCATGCTTGCTCTCCTCGCTGCCCAGCCTACCCGTCTGCTGCAGTGAGCAGTGGGGAAGAGCCTCTGCTTTTCCCAACTGCCTCTTTGGAGATGTGCACAGTTTCTCCCCTCAGCTCACACAAAGACACGCTTCGAAGGAACACCCTGCTCCAGAGATTACCACTGCATGGATTTAACCCCCCAAGAACCTCACACTGTTTGAAGACCCTCAGGGATCAAGCTTCATACATCAGCTGGGAACAGTTTGACTCCTCCAGCCTCTATCTCCAGACCTTGGCATCCCTCTGTACACAGTGTGCCAAGCAGCCCATGACCAGGGGGAGTCCAGAATTCAGCAGGAAAGCACTGATAAATGTTAAATGAAGAGTTAATTGTTAAAGCAAACTAGGGTGTCTCTGCTCCATGCAGTCTAAATGCAACCCAGAGAGCTGTTTATAACCCAGCATTTGCGCCTTTAGATGTGACTGCATGGCCACTGCACTGGCAGGACAAGACTCCTACATCACACACACTGGCACCTTTGCTAGCAATAAAGGTGAATTGTGAAATGGGTGTTTGACTGCTTCACCCTGGGCACCACTCACCAGAGCTGAGCTTAGGGGGAGGAAAAGGGTATAGGGAGTTTTCAGGCTTAAAGCAGAGAGGTGCGGGAAGAGCCATGGGATACCTGCTCCAGGACAAGATCCTTTTTGGGGGGAGCTGGCTCTGTCACTGCAAGGTGGCTCAGAAATCTCTGCATCTCCACCAGGTTGGGCAGCTGGTCAACAAGGACATCTGTCAGGAACACACGGAGCTGTGGCCACAGAAGGGAAGAGAAGTGAATGGAGAGAGGTCAAGACAAGGGAGCCAGAGCTGGGGAAGCAGCATGGCAAGAGCAGGGATCTGTGGGGCACTGGCAGAGGGACCCATAGGGGTCCCATAAGGTGCACTTGCAAACACAAGCTTTGCTGCTTCTGGCACGGTGACAGTCCCCACTGCTCTCCCACCACTGGCTTCCAGGAGCCCACAGAGAGGACAAGGAGAGATGCATGGAGGTGCCCAGTGCTGGCAAGGTCCTTCCCGTGCTGCGGGGCTCACAGCCTTTGCGGCGTAGGGACCCACCTTAAGGAGCTGGCTCCTGTTGAAGCCATCAAAGTGGTATTTGCGCTGGCACTCGGGGCTGAGCAGGAGGTTGAGGAGGGCAATCCACACCTGCCCATCGAGCTTGGTCATCTTCACCTGGTCTTCAGGGGGCACCTCGTGCCATGTGCCGTTCTCAAACTTCTTGAGCTTGCCTGAGGGACAGAAGAACACAAGGCTCCAGGGACAGACAGTGCTGCAGCCCAGAGGTGGGGATGCCAGCCTGCACTCACTGCCTCACTGCAGTGCAGGCAAGCCCCTATGCTTCTGCCTGCTTCAGTTTCCCCACCTTTTTGTTCAGCATAGCAGCCTACTTGGTACTGAGACAATATATTAGAGAGTGTGAAAAGCACAAAGAACATGTATTAAAACAAAAGGGTTGTGGCAGGAACTGGAAGATCCCTGAGGTATCTCCCTCTGTACTTGGCCAGGAGTGTAGAGCGCTGGTAGATGGTGGGGGAACCCACAGTGCAACAACAGAGTGGCTCGAGAGCCATGATTTGGGATGCCAGCATGGCCAACACCAGCTTTTCTGGAGTTTCTTCTGCCTGTGAAAGCCACAAGTAGCATAAATACACCCAAAGTGACAAAACAAGCTCCAGGAGCTACTGTGCTGCTCTGGGGGGTGGAGGAGGATGTAACCCTGCATCTGCATAGCCTGGAAGTGCCTTTGCACTCTTGTTTCTTTCTAGGCCCTCCCTCAGGGCCTCAGATCAAAGCTCCCTCTCACCCCGAGCGCACAGGCAGAGGGAAGGGATGCCTTTCATGGCTGGAGGAAGGAGGAAAGCTCCCACATCCAGCTGGGCCCCCCAGCAGGCACAGAGCCACGTGCTTCCCAGCATCTCTTCCTCCCCTGCCTGTGCTGTGACCCCCTAGGTACAGGGCTGTGCTCACCCCTGCTCCGAGGCAGGCAGTGGGGGAGCTGGGGGGTGGCAGGGGGGCAGGAGGCAGGGCTGGTTGTGATGGGCACAACCTGATCAGAGGCCTTTGACAAGAGCGAAGCTAAATGATCAGCAGCCTCAGGGCCAGTGGTTTGCTGCCTGGGAGAGCCCATGGCTGCCTTGAATCCTTCGTGCTGGTCCTATAAAGGCGCAGAAAGGCTGAGATGCACTCTGGTCTTTCTGTGCCCAGGACAAGACTCCCCAGAGGAGCAAGTGAGGCTGGCAGAGCTGCTACACTCCTGTCCTGGCCATGATCAGCTCAGAGGAGGCACAGCCCTGTGTGAGGATCAGCATGGGAAGCTCTGCAGGGGTCCCCAGCCCAGCTGTGCTGCAGCTGCTTTCGGCAGGAAGCATTAGTGAGGAGCAAGGGGAGGAGGCTGGAGGGGAGCGTAGAGGGGGAGCAGCTTTCTGCAAGGGCTCCTACAGCCTATCAGCGGATGCAGGTCCCAGCATGTCACCACAGTGCCCTGGGTACCGCAGGGCAGGATCCGTACCTGCTTCCCAGCAGCTCCAGGGGCAATGCTCCACCAGCTCAACAAGGAGGCAGGGCAGGTTGTGGGTGCTCAGCATCCGTGTCAGGGCGCTCAGGGGCAGGCTGCAAACATGGCAGAAAGGGTGAAAGGTGCAGGCAGACAAATGCAGAACAGATAAACGTTCCCTGAGGCAACTGGGGGAGGCAGGAAAAACACAAGGGAGTACCATGGAGCAGGGTGGGTGCTGCTGCCTTTGCCCCCTGGGGCACTGCCACCATGGATACAGGCAGCTGCTGAGAGGGATCCCATGGAATCTGCATTGGAGAGCTGGGCACATGTGCTCTGCTGGTCCTGGGCAACTCACCTCTCCACCCGGTCAGTGATGAACCGCAGCACGGACAGGGCTTTCAGGGCAATCTCAAACTCCATCGCCTCCGCCTGCTGCTGCAGCTCCTGTGGAGGGACAAGCACAGCCTCAGGATTGCAGGCCCCATTTCCCAGGAGCTACAGGGAGGAAGGCTGTGGGCTGCATCAGTAACCACAGACTGGGGAGGAAACCAGAGCCCTGCAAAACAATCTCTGCTTCTCCTCTTGACTGTGCCAGCGCTGCCTGTTTGACAGGGCAGCTGCAGAAGTGCTCACAGACCATTGCTGCTCCTTCCTCATCCCCTTATTCCTAATGGGTCATGGGAGGCCATCAGCAGCAGTGCCCCAGCACAGGGACACCTCCTGGAAGAGGCCAGTCCCAGACTGCTCCTCTCTCCCATTCTGGGATCATCCTGCAGCCCATGGCCCTGCAGAGACCTATGAGGTTCAGGCAGGGGGAAAGCTGCATGGTCAACAGAGGAACTAGAGGAGGAGGAGGGACAAACTTGGCCCTGGCACAGCTGCAGTCCTACATCCACCCCTCCTGGATCTGCCTCTGCAGCTTGTGTACAGCCAGCTGGAGTATCTGCCTGTGGCTATCCCACTCCACAGCTATGCCATGCTCTCCAGCCACCCGGCCTCCTTCCCTTCCCAGGCAGCACGGACACTCCATGTGATCCCCATGTGCTCAGGGTAACAGCCTGACCACCCTCTGACTCAGCCTCGTTTGGGACCCCTGGCACAGCCGATCTGAGCAGTGCCAAGTCCCTCTCCTCCTCCCCAGCCCCAGATGCTCAGCAGCTCACATTTCTGTGTGCAGAGCACTGAGCTCAGCACCTCGTGTTCCTCTAAAGTGCCACCGCAACTGTTCCCTTACAAATGCCTGTGGTAAGAAGCCCTGTGCTTCCCGTGCCAGCGCCCCACACGCTACTAAGAAAACCCTATGGGCTCTTATCCCCCTCCCTCTCCAAACTCCTGCAGTGAGGCCCTTTTGTAGAGCTCCTCCTGATATTCAGACCTCATCTCCTCTGCCTTCAGGCAGGGATTACGTTTTGCCTGTGCTTCTGGGGGACAACAGAACAAGTCCTGCTCCAGGGGTTATCACCACGCAGAGTCACAAAGGACAAGAGGCTCCACAACACAGGAGAAGGCAGGAACAGCTTTTTCATAGGGGGTTATTGTACGTGGAGTCAGGAGGGGCTGGAATGAATCAGAGGAAGCCAGGCTCCTTGGGAGACGAGTGCTTTTGAGAATGCTATTGGCTGGAAAGATTGTTTTATTTTAAACTTGAGCCATGTCAAAGCACCAACAAAGACACCCCTTCCCCTCCCCAGCTGGGAAAACAGTTCCTGGAAAACATCCCTATTGTGCTCCGGAGCCCTCCAGTTCCTTCCCTTCTCGGGAAGAGGAGCACGTGCTCGGGCAACAAGCCAAAGCATTGAGGTCCAGCCAAGTCTGCAGTCACTTTAACCCTGCTGCTCCAGACACTGCTCGTGGTGAGTGCAGTCTGAAGGTGCTGGGAAGCACTGGAAGCCAAGAGAGCTCCCACACCGGGAAGGTGTGCACAGCAGCCTGGGAGCACCTCAGTGGGAGCAGCTCTGGACTCGGTGCTGGCCCGGACCAGCACAGAGAGGAGGTGCTTCTCAGAGAGCCAAGCAAACTGGAGGGAAACGTGTTAGGATGATTCCTCATCATATTATACACTGATTTCGGGAAGGATCCCTCTCATGGTTAACCCTGGCTGGCTCTCAGCAGCAGCCAGCTGCTAAGGTGGCTTCACAAGCTGCAGGGAGACACAGCCACACAGCTTTCAAGAGCAGTGGCAAATGGCCAAAACCCCTGCAATGAATGCTTTGCCTTACTGTCAGCTCTCCAGCATCCCCCCTCAGAGCTCAGACCGTGCCCTGCAGGAAGCCTCAGGCTGGAAGCCGTGGCTGTCTCCATGGGGAGACCCCCTCTGTGCCTCTTCAGGCTGCCCACATCCTCCATCACATGTGTCCCCAGTGAGCTACAGTTCTCTCTCCTCACCTGCATGGATGAGGGGCTGGCCACATCCTCAGGACAAGGCTGTCCCTTGGCACCCCGAGCTGCGAGCAGCGTCAGTTTTCGGTGGCAGTAATCAATCAAATCCAGAACGCTGTCCTCTGCTGACTCGCAGACCTCCTTCACAACAACGGGAGTTTCACAGAGGGTCAGCCCCACGGCTGTGGATTCCATCCCCAGCTGAGGAACGCTGAACCTGCCCCTTACCTTGTAAAAAAACACTGTCTCCAAGAGGTTAATGATGGAGGCTTCATGACGCAGCTGCGGGAGGGAAATGACGGAGTTAGGTCACAGTGGAGCAGTCACTAGCACCGAGGGCACAGGCAACGGGACCAAGAAAAGAGCTCTTCTAAGAAGCTGCTTATGTAGATGTGGCCAGACACAAGCCAAGAGCCAAATGCAAGTGATGTAATCTTTAAAACAACTCCAGGTCATGCAGTTCACGTTAATGTTTATGTTAACATGCCTATAACACTGTAACATGCTGATAGAGAACCACGCTTCCCAGCAGGCAGGGCTCTCCAGGGCCCTGGCTTTGTGCTACCGTGGCAGTACAACTGTAGCCCTCAGGCAAGCTGAAGCCCCTGGCACCAGCACAGAGCCACTGCCTGAGACAGAACAGTGCCCTTCCTGCCTGTTGGTGCTGCTCTCAGCCCCCTGGGAATGGGCAGACAGCCTTGTTCAGAGACCAGGAAACATGAGATAGACTGGAGGCAATGCTTTCCCAATACAAATGGCTGCCCAGGGAAGACACCACCTTGCCCCAGCGAGTTACCCTGGGGTTACCCTGGACTGAAAATGGGCTAAAACTTTCAAGCCTTGGACAGATTTGCTTTAGGGCAAGGGAAGCCCAGCTCCTGATATCATCCCTCTGCAGGGAAGCCCAGCTCCTGATATCATCCCATTGCCAAGAGTGGCTCAAGGGACTGCTGCTCCTGGGAGCTCAGTAAGAAAAAACATTTTCCTTAACCTCAGAAGCGTGTAACCTCCGAGAGGCCTCTGCTTAGAGGTGCCAAACAGTGCTCAGAGGGGGGGAATTCCCCAGGGGGGCTGTTGCCTGGGAGTGAGGGTAGCACCAGGTCTCTTTGAGCTCCAAGCCAGGAGCAGCCACCACTAGGAGCAGCTTTTGCTGCATCCCGCAGCTCCCACAAGCTCCTCACTGGAATTAGGCAGGGGTGAGGCCTCTGCAGAGCTGAGCTATCCTTGTCCGTCCTGAGGGCAAGGACACGGGCTTGTCACCACTCATGGCTTTGGGAGCCAGCTGCTTCCCAGGGTCACACTGCTCAGCACCGCTGCTCAGCCTGCTGGGATGTAAACCCCAGCTCCAAGATCTTTAGGGTGAGATGTGTGTTTAAGCACAGTGGTGCTCACCTTGTACCCAGGGTCAGCCCCACTGCCCCCTCTACTCACCACTATGTAGATGGGGAAGGTGCTTCTCGGCTTGAAGTCCTCCAGCCGGCACAGCACAGGGAAGACCTTGTGCTTCCAGATCTCCACAGAGATCAGCTCGCCAATGAGAACAGGAATCTAGAGAGGGAAGGGATGGGGAGAGCAAAGCCTTCCAGACCAGTGCTGCAGGGGGGAGCAGTTTTACTGCTAATGCTCAGCCACAAAGCCTTTGGAGTCCCCCCGTGGCCATGGAGGGAGGGCAGCCCTGGGGCACGCTGCTGCCTTTACATTCACCAGCTCAGGAATCAACAGCTTTTCACCAACAGACCAGTGGGCAGAGAGCTCCTGAGCACCCATCCCTGGGCAGCCCTGCGCATGCGGGGCTGGGACGCCCCAGGTAAAGCGCTGAGATCCATAAGCAGAGGGGCCGGTTCGCAGAAGAGACCAGAACCTCCAAGAAACGAAGCAGAGACGAGCCAGTAGAAACACCGCAGCTTGACCTTTAATTAAGAGCCAACCCAAACCCAACTGCGCGGATACACAACCGGTTCTCCACCCTTCCATCCCCAGATTGCACACTGCCCACCAGCTGACCCCAGCTCCCGCTGAGGGCCTGGCCCGGGGATCCCCACCACACGCAAGGCGCTCACCTTGGCGTAGGTGACCAAGAGCTCCGTGAGGAGCTGCTCCTGGCCCACGGAGGCGCTCAGGATGGCGTCCATGTTGAGCTTCTCCACAGCCTCCTGCTGCCGGAGCCATCTGCAGGGCAGGCAGCAGGCCATCAGTGCCACGGGCTGCTGGCCATGGGCTCCTCATGCAGGGAAACCTGCTCCGGGCACCCCCAAACCCCACAGCGCTCCCTGAGCCTCGTGTGCTCCCTGCAGCAGCAGCTGCACCCACGGCCCTGCCCCTCTGCCTGCCCCCGATGGGGACATCCCAAAACTGGGGTCCTCCTCTCCCGCTACAGCCCCAAAAGGGGCACCCCGAATTGGGAGCCCCCCTCTTCACGCTTCCCGTCCCAGACTCCCCGGGGACCCCCAGAGCCCCCGCACCCCTGCCCGCCGATGTCCCGCAGCTCCGTGCCCTGCAGCGCCCGCACCAGCGCCTCGGCCTCGGCGGGCAACAGCAGCGCCGGGCCCGGCACGGCCATGGCGGCGGCGTCGCTATGGCAACGGGCAAGCGTTGGCGCAGCCTTTCCGCCCCCGGCCGCCTCGGGGAACGGCGCAGCGGCGGCGCGGAGGGGCCTCTGGCGCCCCCTGGCGGCGTGGCGGAGACACGGCGGCGGGCGGGGGTACTGCAGTCCGGGGACACAGCCGGGGGCGGGCGCGGGGCCGCCCCCGCCGTCACTTCCAGCACACGATGATGTTGGGGTCGTTCTCCAGGCGCTCATCCAGCTCCTTGTAACTCATCCCTGGGGGGAGGCAGCGGGGTGTCAGCGGGGTGCCCAGGGGGGGCTGGCTGGGGTCCCCAACCGCTCCCATTGCAGCAGGGCACAGAACCCACCCCAGCCCCATCTCCCGCAGTCGGCACAAAGGGGCGAGGGAGACCCTGACAGCAGTGCCCAGCCCGGGGGGCTCTGCCTCCCACCGGCCCCGAGGAGCCCGGCTCCTCACCGGTCTTGCAGCAGATCTCATCGTAGCTGTGGCAGCCCGTGTACAGCCGCGCCGGGTGGCTCCGCTCGTCCCGGGCCACCTTCACGGGGTATTTCTGCAGCCGTCGGATGAGGCCCTTCATCAAACCAAACTGGATGAGCCTCCTGCGCATGAGAACAGGCTGGGACCCGCATGCTGAGGTGTCCAACTTCTGGTTCCACCATGCCCCACCGTTCCCCACCTACAGACATAGGGACTGGGCACTCCCTCCTCACTCCGCCACCCCTGGTGTCACCACCACCCTTGGGGATCAAGCAGGAGGGTGCTGGGACCAACCTCTCGTCCACCCTCTGGAGCTGCAGGGTATAGCGGGAGATGAGGTCTCGCACCGTGGTGCCAGGGCTCAGCCCGCAGTACAGCTGGAACACATCCCTGAGGCTGGCGCGCTTGTGCCCTGCAGGGACAAGCCACCAGTCAGCTGCCCTCTCCTCCTGCCTCTGCCAGCAGCCCAGCGCGGGGTCCCTGTACCTTGCTTGGTGACGTAGGACAGACACTCCTCCTGCAGACACTTGTCATCCACTAAATCCTGGACCTTTGGCGTGGTGCAGTAGGCATTGGAGTACTGCAGGGTGAGGGGAAGCAGCTCTGCTCAGCCATGGCTCCAAGAGAGACAGACCCACCCCGCTCCCAATCCCACTGTTCCCCTGCATGGCCACCCTGATGGGGCAGCCGCTGCCTGAATCGCATTCATGGCCCCACGCTCCATGGCCTGACCCACCTGGAGGATGGAGACGAGTGTGACAACCCCGTAATACCTGCAGACAGACAGGGAAGCGTGAGACCCCCTCTGCCAGCACCCACCACCCACCTCCTGCCCGCTGGCCAGGCCCTTCCATGCACTCACAGCAGGTTTTGCACTGCGATGCGCACCAAGTTCAGCTCCACATCAGCTTCTGCAGAAATCTTCTGGACGTGCCGAAAGCCATCGATGTAGGGCAGGATCTAGGAGGGGAGGAAGCAAGAGTTAAGAGGAGAGAGAGCAGAAGCCCAAGGCATCACACTGAAGGCCAAGAAACTCCCCTGTGTGCACTCGGACAGGCCAGCTCCATCCCCAGCAGCATTTTATCCTTGTTGGGGAAACTGCTTGCTCAAAGCACAGGGACAAGGGGAGCACCAAACCGTGCTTATTAACGTGGTGATCTGCAGGACAGCTCGACACCCCTCCGCCCCTGGGCAGGATGGAAACAGATCCTGGTCAAAGCATGCTGCCCCCAGTGAAGCACTCAGACCTGCTGCGTGGTGAGATCCCACTGGGAGTTGAAGAAGTCGTCCTTGTCTTGGGTGAAGACGGGGACATCGTACTCCTGCACAATGGGGGGGTCCGGGCGCTGCTCGATCACCTTCAGGTGGATGGTGTTGGACTCATCTGGCAGGGGAAAGGGGCGTGCTCAGTCCCCATAGAAACTGGGGGAGCTCACAACCATCAGCTCCCTGGGGAGCTCACAACCATCAGCCCCAGGCACCACCCGGCTGCTCAGAAGTGTCTGCAGCCATCACCCCATCCCTTCCACCACTTTGAGCCACCCAGGGCAAGGCTGGATCAAGCACAGGCAGAGTGGATCCAGGCAGGGAAAGGCCCAGCTGCCTCCCTGCCCCACTCCTGCCCTTACTGCTGGGCTGGCAGGGCTTCCATACCTATGGGCAGGGTGCACTTTCCTTTGGCATTCAGCTCCTCCAGCAGGATGGTCATGATGGGAACCAGCTTCTGCTTACTCTCCTCGTTGGAGATGAAGCCACTTTCTAGCTATAAAGAGAGCAGAAAACCAAGTCAGCTCCGCCCCACAGGACAGGAACCAAGATGTGGGGTTCTGCACATCTCGGTTCCTGTTCTCCCTTCAAGTGATGTGTGGGTAAAACCAGCGTGATCACCTCCTGGCTGTAAACCTGGGTCCCTGCCCCAGTGACACCCAGTGACCCACAACATGCACCAGGTCACTGGTGGCTCTGTGGGTCGCATTGTGAGGCAGCCAGCCTCTGCTCACACCGGCTCAGGGCTCACCTCCAGGGTGGTCAGGTAGCCAGCCAGCTTCTTCACTATGGGCTCCAGCGCACAGGCCTTGGCTCTGGCATCGCACACGAAGCCCAGGTTGAAGAGCAGAGCGTTTCGGCTGTACTTCTTGTGCTCGATACACACAGGGCAGCCGATCAGCTTCTTCTCCATGGCTGTCCTGCGGGATGACAAGTATAACCTGCACCTATGCCCTCAGGGCAGCCTGAGCACCACACAAGGATAGTTCTGGAAGTGGGGGCTTCTCTGCTCTACATTTAAAACGATCCCTAATCCTCAGATGGCCAGAGTGCAAAACACACGCAATGAAGGGGTTAAGAGAGTCCACCACCAGGGAATAAAGTCTCCGTTTAACACCAGCACTGCCCTCAACACTCGTTTGCCCTTCTCGGAGCTGGCAGTGACAGAACCGCACGCAGCCCCGGGTACCCAGACCTCCCGCACGGGTTATCACGGGCACCAAAGGAACGGGGGGACCCCACGGACAGATCCCCGGCGCAGCCCGCGGCACTCACACGGTGATCAGCTTGTTCTGCAGCTCGGGCTTCGTGATGACGTACACCTGGATGGTGTCGAACAGCTCCCGAGAGATGAAGTCCTCCGGTACCTGCAGCGGCACAGGCGGATCAGCCCCGCTCCCGGTCTCAGCCCCGGCCCGCGGTACAACGCTGCCGGGCGCCCATGGCCGGGGCCCCTCACCTGGTAGGTGATCTTGGGTCCCAGCGTGGGGTGGAACTCGCTGAAGAACACGCACTCGATCCTGCCGCCCATGGCGCACTGACGGGTCGGGACGAGCCACCCCGCTGCGGCACGGACGGCGGAGCAGCCACCGCGCCTGCGCCCGGCCCCCGCCGGCCACCGTAGCGAGTATCCCGGGGGCCGCTCCGTCACACGGCCGCGCCGGAGTGGGCGGGCTCTCCCCTGAGTGACGCCACCTACCACCAATCAGCGCCGTCCGCCAACGGACGGACAGCTCCCCTCGCCCAATCGCGGCGTGAGGCGCGGCGCGCCCGGCTCGGCAGCGGCAGCAGTTCCCCCGCAGCCGCCATGGCCCTGGCGGCCGAGACCGAGTCCCGGCTGTACCGGTCGCTGCGTGCCGCCGCCGGCGCTGCCGCGCACCTCGTGGCGCTGGGCTTCCCCACCGGCGTGGCCGTGCTGGCGCGGCCCGGATCCAGTGAGTGCGGGGCGGGCGCGGGGCCGGGCGGGGCGGGCGGGCCGCGTCTCTCCTCAGCTCACCAGTCCTTCCCTTGCAGGCCTCTTCTCCTGGCACCCGCTGCTCATGGCCCTCGCGGTAAGTCCCGCCGCCCGGTTACCGGCCCCGCTGCTCCCCGGCCATGGGCACGTCCCCTGGGCCCCGCGGGTCCGGGGACAGTGCCCGGCCCGGAGGATGAGCCCCGTGTCTGCCTTCGGGGGTGGTGGGAGGCTGAGCCCCGGGAGAGCCAACCCCCTGCCCTCTGTCTCCCAGTTCTCGTTCCTGATGACCGAAGCGCTGCTGATGTTCTCCCCGGAGACCTCGGTGCTCCGCTCCTTCTCCCGCAAAGTCAAAGTGCGGGCGCACTGGGCCCTGCAGCTGCTTGCCCTCGTCTGCGCACTCCTGGGGCTGGGCATCATCACCTACAACAAGCACCAGAACGGCAAGGCACACTTCGTGACCTGGCATGGGCTGACGGGGCTGCTGACCGTGCTGTACGCGGGCGGGCAGTGCGCGGGGGGCGTGCTCCTGCTCTACCCCAAGCTCATGAAGAACTGGACGCTGGCCAAGCTCAAGCTCTACCATGCGACCTCGGGGCTGGTGGGCTACCTGCTGGGCTGTGCCAGCCTGATGCTGGGCATGTGCTCCCTGTGGTTCACCACCTCGGTGACCAGCGTCTCCTGGTACCTTGCCATGCTGTGTCCCCTTCTCACCAGCCTGGTTATCATGAACCAGGTGAGCAACGCTTACCTGTACCGCAAACGGAGCCAGCACTGAGGGCCTGACACAGAGCTGAACTTCCCCTGCGTGAGTCAGCAAGGTGAGGGCTCCCCCTCGCACCCCCTACGGGGTTCCCCTGCTCTCATAGGGTCTCCTCAGAACTCAATTTCTGCCTACTCGTCTCTTGTCCTGGATTGTCCGTAGTGTCTTGTCCCCAGGGAGCAGCTACAACGTGCGTGACACTGAGCAGGCAGACGCTGCCCTCCTCATGCCTGCCTTGGTGGGGATGTTTCCCAACACAAATGAAGCTGCTGGTCCCTGTGGCAGCTTGGTGCTCACTGCTGGGAACTGTGGGGTTCACTCAGGATTCGTGTTCCTTTTCACTTCCCACCCAGGGCTGCATTGGAGCAGGCAGGACACGAGCCAGTGTGCCCTGATGAGGAGGGCATGGAATCGCTGCTCATGCAGGAGGCTGTGGTGGCACCACACTGCCTCTCCTGCCATGGAGGCAGCTTGGCTAGTAAAAGCACAGGTACGGTTGTGGCTTCAGCCACAGGAGAGCTGAAGCAGAGCGGCAGCACCCATGCCAGATGCAATGGACAGCAGCGTGTTCAACCCCACAGCACAGCCCCATGCAGGGACCTGGGAGCTCCCCAGGACCAGCGCAGTAAGCCCAGCCTGGCAACCACAGATCCACGCACAAATCCTTCCTGCAGGCTGGGAAAGCAAAGCTTCAGCCTGTCAGGAAGGGGGTCATTTTATAAAGCAAATTCCCAGGCCGGGCTGCAAAGCAGCAGGCTGCAAAGGAGCAGGTTTGTCCCTCTGAGGGGCACAGGGAACAGTGAGAGCGTGGGGGAGCAGGGCTCAGCGCAGACCTGGGGACAAGCCCTGGAGCCAGCCTACAAAACAGTCCCCCCAGGAAGGCAAAAAGGAACATCCTCCCCTTGCCAGCACAACAGCCTGCCTTCGTCCCACCCAACACTGGGTGTCCTTCTGCTCCTCAGCACGTACCCTGCTCCTAGCAGGGCTGGGCAGCTGGGAGCAGCGCCCAGGCTGGAACATTCCTCTGTATCCAGAGCTTTTATTCAATAAAGATTTCAGGCAGCTACAGTGCAACAAGCCCTCTTTACTGCTGGGGGGGGCTGTGTGTGGAATTCTGGGTGCAGGCAGATATCCCCCCCACCCCGCACAGTTCTCACCTCCTGCTTGCAAAGGGTCTTTCCCAACCTGCTGGGAGCCTCTGGGAAGAACCCTCCCTCCTGAGGCTCCTACAAGGGAGCCTGCAGGGGCTGCTTTGTGTCTGTCCCGTGCCCTGCCCGCACTGGGCTGCAGAGGCGGCTCTTTGAAAGAACTCTTTATTGAAACCGAACCCTCTGTGGTTCTCCCAGGTGACAAAACCTCGTGTGGTCCTTTAAAAAAATAATCACACACTATCATCCCGTGCCCCAGGCTGGGGAGCGCCCGGGGGTGCAGGAGCTGGGAGGAGGCTGTCAGGGAAAGATCCTCTCCATCCAGAGAAAAGAACAAAAAAGCCCATCAACACAGAGGAAGGGAAAGAGAAGGGGGAGCCCATATTCTACCTGCAGGGTAGAAAACCTGCTGCTGAAGAAGCAGCAAGAGCCCCACCGTAAAAATGAATCCCAGCTTCTAGTGTAATCTGACAAATGGATAAACCAGAGAGCAGCCGAGGGCACCGGCTCCTCGCAGGGCTTTGTGGGTGACAGAGGGAGGAGAGAGCCCCACTGTGAGGGGCTGGGTGTCTCCTGCCCCGTGACCTGTCGCCCGCCTGGCAAACCACTGACCTCCTGCTGGGGCCGAGGGAGGCTCCCCACAAGAAAGGGATTGAGAAGAGAAACCCACCAGCCTTCCCGTTCCCTCCGTGGGGACAAAACTACCTTCAGAACGGAGGAAGTAAGTGTGGAGCGCTCTGGCCAACCCCGGGCGCAGAGGAGAAGCGAGGAATCGCTGCCGACTTTGCTCCTGCATGGGTAAGCAGTGGCCTGGGGCAGGGATCAGCACCATGTCCCCTCCCAGAGCAGCCCCCACTGCCGGTGCTGATGTCCATGGGCTGCCCTGCGCCGAGGAGAGCGGCTCGAGGATCCTGTCCTTGTGGTGGTGGCAGCGTCCTCGTCCTGCGTGCCCGGTGCTGGCCGCAAGCAGCAGCGAAGCATTGCAATGAGGTAGCCCCTGCCTCTGCCGCCGGAGGAGTCCCCGCGCCCACCAAGCACCCCGGCGGTGGGGGGCACAATGAGGGTCAGCAGCTCTCCAACAGAGACCGGGCCGGGAAGGGGGCGGCGTGTCAGCCGGTCACAGCTGTGCCGGGGCATCCTGGAAGGTGATGAGGTTGGACTCCTGGCTGGAGCCCTTCCCGGCTGCGCTGGGGTCAGGCAGCAGTGGGCTCTCAGCCTTGACTGTCACTTCCTCCTCGTCATCCTCCATGCTGGGCCAGGCTGACTGGTCCTCCACTCGCTTCAGCCGCTCGTTCAGGGCCTTCAGGGCCAGCTGCCTGTGGGGCAAGGGCAGACAGGCAGGTTACCTTGGGTGAGACCTGGCCCCGGCTCCTTCCCAGCAGGGGAGGATGGATTCAGCAGCGCTGGAGGTGACCCAGTGTACCTGGGACTGCCCCATAGAAACGCTCTCACACTACACATGCAGGGTTTTCATGCCAGGTGGAGCGCCTGGAAGCTGCCTGATGGCACACAGCCGCTTCGGGAACAGGGGAAAAACAGAGAAGGGGAAAGCTGAGTGCCAATGCCTGGTCCAAGCCTTCCTGCTGGGAGCCGGAAGGATAATGCTGGATGTGTGGGAGGGCCGGGGCATGGCACTGACTCACACCTCTCCCTGTACCAGGATGAACGGCTGCAGGGCTGCCACAAGCAGGGGGCCACCTCCCATCCCCTTTCCTCCTGCAGGGACCCCAAACCCCACCTGCCCCTTTACCAGGATCTCCCTGCTCTCCTGCGCTTCCACCATCGCTCCACATGTGGGAGAGCGGGACAATGCCCCAACACGCCTAAAATGCTCCCCACCACCTCCATAGCACGGAGGGCGGTGCTCCTGGAGAAGGTTCCCCTGAGCACCCCGCACCCAGCCCTTCCCACCCCTCCTCATTTAGACCTTAAACCTGACCCTCCCTGCCCACAGACACGATCCCCAGGGAAGCAGGGCGAGTGATACCTTCTCCTCTCGGCGTCCTGGGGGTCTGTCCCCGGCAGGCTGATGGTGATGGACGACGGGGCACCCACATCGTAGCGTTTGACTGTCTTGCGGCAGACCTTCACCTTCACCAGGATGCTGTGAACCAGGTTGGCCACCAGACCCACCACGGGCTGCAGGATCTCGGGGAAGAAAGTGGCGAAGGCGAAGTGGTCGGACATGTCTCCGCGGCCTCTACTGTGCCGCTGGTAGAAGCGGAGATAGACCCAGCCGGAGAGGAGCCCGAAGCCGTACGAGGCCAGTACATTGCTCTCGACGAGCGCAGCGAGCCGCAGCAGAGCCAGGAGAAGGAGCAGGAGCACGGGGACCGCCTTCATCCTGACCTGGGGCACCTTCAGCACCGTGCTGTCCCCCATCGTCTGCTTGAGGGCCACCAAGACTCCCCCGAGGAAGCCCAGCCCGCCGTGGATGCGGACGGCGAACAGGTAGGCGAGGTGGAAGGAGGCCACGTAGGTGAGGAAGTAGGCGAGCGCCGCCAGGAGCCCCACCGAGACGTTCACCACCGCGAAGAAGACGAGCAGCTCCAGGGCCCCCCAGAGGGGCTCCAGCAGGCGCCCGGCCGCCCCCAGCGTGGCCAGGCTGGCCGCCAGGCCCCAGGCGCGCTGCTCCACCAGCCCGTGCGTCAGCAGCGTCCACACCCAGAAGTTGGGGGGCAGGAGGTAGCCGGGGGTCACCCCCAGCCCGTAGGCCGTGTCCACGCCGAAGGACAGCAGGTACAGCAGGAGCGCGGCGCCGCTCAGCGACTTCACCACCACGCTGGTGCCGGCCAGAGCCGCCAGGAAGTGCTGCCGGGCCACCGGCAGGTACCGCCGCATCTTCGGGCCCCACCGGCGGAGCGGAGCGGAGCGGAGCGGGGCTGGGCTGCCCCGCGGGGGCTGCAGCGCCCGGCCTCCCCCCGCCAGGCCCCGCTCAGCCCCGGGCCGGGCCCTCCCGCCGCCGCCTCAGGCCGCGCCGGAGCCCGCTGCTGGGCTAGGCCGGGCGCGGGCAAACAGCGGCGCTGCGCATGCGCGGGGTAGGGAAGGGGAGGGGCTGCGGAAGAGGCAGGGCCGGGGCGGTCGCGGAGCATGATGGGACATGTAGTGCCGGCCGGTGGCGGGGCCACGGGCACGGGGACTCAAAGGGGGCACAGACACAGGTGGGCACAGATGAAGCAGAAGCATGGGGGCACACAGTGATGGGGTTGTGGAGATGGGGTCACAAACCCGGGGTGGGAGCGGACACTGACATGGGTGGGCTGCGCACGGCGGGGGGCACTTGGGGGCACTGACACAGGATGGATGTGGGGGCACAGGGATGCGGGGAGGGGACCACGCAGCGCTGAGGAGCCGGGAGTGCCGCACCTGGGCAGTGTGTGAGCCCGCAGCCCTGCCTGCGCCCTGCCCGGGTCCTGCCCACTGGCCTCGAGGTGCAGGCAGGCTTGAGGCATCAGCACCCCGATGTCCCCCCCGCCCCGTGCCCATGCACCCGGCCAATGACGCAGCCACCGCCTGTGAAGTGAAAATATGAACATTATTTAATAACGGAGTCTCTGTAATAAACCATTTGAAAATATTTTACAAGGAGTCACACGCACGATATTTTACAAATCGTCTTTTTTTTTTTTTGTTGGGTTTTTGAAGTTTTCCAACTCTTCTGTACAAAAAAAAAAAAAAAAAAGAAAAGAAAAAAAGAAAAAAACAACCCCAAAGAAATTAAAAATAAATGAAAGAAAATCAGTTAAAGCCCAATGCTTTTGAATGAGCAGAGAGAAGCTTCCAGGTGGGGAACGGGGCAGGATGCGACCCTGGTGGGACCGGGGGCCCGGGGCCACGCCGCCCCTTTGTCTCATTGGTTTTTAACTTAAAATAGACTATATATGTATATATTTATAGGTATGTATAGTGGTGGTTTCTGGCAGAGCACCTAACTAGACTACAGAAGTACACACACTCCCGGTAACACAGAGCCATCTGTTCAAACACGGTTCCCAGAGACAGTAACCAAACACACACTGAAAAAGCTACAAGCAGAATGACCATTAATTAACCCCAGCACTAATTAGCGCCTGGCACCCTCCCCAGCCCCCCCGGGGTGGCCGCGCTGAGGGGGCTCCCCTGGCCTGGTTGATGGGGTGGCTCTGAGCAGGGTCCCCAGGGGGTGAGGAGCCCCTGGCACTGCTGGGAGCAGCGGGGGGCAATGGGTGGTGGGTACAGCCCCCCATGCACTGCAGCACCCAAGGGTGTCACAGCTGGGCACCCTGCACCGGTCTCACAGCACCTCTCCTGTCTGGGGTGCCAGAAGATGCTATGGGTGCCGTGGGGTGCCATTTCTAAGCAGCTGCTCCATCTGCCTCTTTGGCACCCAGAGTTTTGGCTGGGGCACAACACCCTCATCCAAGTGCGCCAGTGTGAGCCCCAGCACCCCGGGACACCCCCAATGGTGGGTGCCCGCAGCCAGGACCATAGCAGCACCCAGGGAGCAGCCCCGCTCTGGTGCCCCAAGGGATGGGCAGGGGGGCCTGGCATGTCCCTTCTGGGGACACGTGGCACCTCCTGCTCCACTTCTCACCATGGGGCACATGGTGCAACCTGCCTGGGGACACATGGCACGTCCCCCTCGGGCACAAGCGCCACGCTCCCCTGGGCACTGTGGTTTCTTTGGCAGGGGGGCTGCGTAGGGCTGGGCGGGCAGGGTTTCACAGTGATCTGCAGAACGGAAAAGAAACAAAATACACTTCTTTTTCCTCTCCTTTTCACCCCAAAAGCTGTGCCCAAGAACACACGAGCGCGGCTGAGCCCGGGGCAGGCACCGGGGCTCCATCCTGCCCTGGCACAGGAGATGGCCACTGCCCCCCCCATTCCATCCCTGCCTGCGTCCGGCCCGAGCCCGCAGGGATGCTGGAGCTCCCAGCTGCCCTGCGCGCCCTTGGGGGCTGGTACCTGCTGGAACAAACAATACTGACCCGCACAGTCAAGTCCTTTTCTCTCTCTTTTTTCTTTTTGTTTGTTTTTGTTTGTTTTTTTTTTCCTTTTTTCCTCTTTTTTTTTGTGTTTTTCCCACGTGTCCTCACTGCTGACAGCAAACACCGCCGGTCTCCAGGCGAAAAAATGTCGGAAACTCGATGTAGAAAGATCTGCTTTAAAATCTTCAGGCTAAAAAAATAGGCGAGGTGGATGGGGGTCGTGGGCACCGCCGCCGCGTTCCGAGTCCGAGCGGCCGGGAGGGCAGGGCCGCGGCACCGACCCCGTCCCCGCGCTGCCGGGGGGCCCCTGCCCGCACCCCGGCTCTTCTTTGGCTGCGGCCGGCGGGGAGCGCCGGGGCGGCACCGCGAGGTCCCCGAGGCGATGGAGGGGACGCTGCTCCCGCTCCGCCGGGCCGGGGAAGGGGATGGAGATGGAGCTTGAAACGAAAGAAAGCTGGCGGGGGGGGGACGGACCGGGGGGCTAAAGGCAGGCGGCCGGGGGCAGCGGATGCCGGCTGGCGCTGGAGTAGAGGAGCAGCAGCTGCAGGGAGAGCAGGACCCCCAGGGAGGGGGCGAAGGAAGCCCCTCGGCCGCAGTCTGAGGTATCTTCCTGGGGGGGGGCAAAGGGAGAGGGGCCGTGGGGCATCCCCAGCAGTGCCTCGGCACCCCTTCTGTACCCCCTGCAGCAGGACCCCGCAGCACTGCCACCCTGGGAACACCCCATGGTGCTGCTCTCCCCGGTGCTCCCATGGCTCTGTTCCCCCCAGGAGGGTACCCCATGGCATTGCTCTGCTAGGGACCCCCCATGGCTCTCATCTCCCCAGGGGGCACCCCAAAACTCCTGACCCTCTCCCCCCAGGCTCTGAACCCCCATCAGGGGGTCCCTCCACATCACTGCACCCCTGGGACCACCCATGGCTCTTTCCACCCCACCCCAGAGGCACCCACTGCCCCCATCCCTCCCAAGCCCCCCCCAGCTCTGCGCCCCCCTGCACCCCACGTACTGTTGCATTGTAGTCGAAGCAGATGTGGGGTCCTTTCCGGTAGCGGGGCCTGTCCACCAGCTCACACTGGTTTGGGTCCCTCGGGGGCGCTTTGCAGGTCAAGGAAACCACCAGGGACAGGGCAGTGGGGGCCCGTGGGGCACCCCATGGCCATCCCCTTACCCTATGGACACAGGCTGGCTCCCTCCATCCCTGCCAGTCCTCACAGCTAGTGGCCTCCCTGTCCTGCCCCACAGACCCTGCCTGTCCCCCCACTGCTCTGCCACCATGTCCCGGTGGAACACAGCTGGGACACCAAAGGATACCTCTTACCTCCGCCTGCAGCAGCTTGACCGACTCACACTGGCTGCAGAGGGGCTTGTCAGCCACCACGAAGAGCAGGTTGGTGTTGGCCAGCCTCTGCGCATGGAAGAGCCTGGGGGTGCGACAGCAGCAGGGACCCCACTGACCCTGTGCCCTGATCCCCCCTTGGCCCATGGTGCCAGCCCCGCTGGTGGGTGGCTCTAGGGAGGGTGACCCCATCCCCAGTCTGAGCCCCATCCTCATCCCCATCCCCATCCTCATCCCATCCCTACCTTAACCTCATCCCCATCTCCAGTGTCATCCCCACCTCCAGCCTCATCTCCAATCTCACCCCTGTACTCATCCCCACCCCCAACCTTATCACCATCCTTGTCCTCATCCCTGTCCTCATCCCTATCCTCATTCTCCACTCTCTCCCAGTCCCCATGCCAAGGGGCTGCCCAGAAAACCAGCTTTTCAGAGCTCAGTCCCACTTGGAGGGGCCTTGGGGATGTCATCATCATCCCACAGCCCATGGGGACACTACCATTGCTCTCTGTCCTCCCTGTTTGGGTTCCACAGCCCCCCCCCCCACAGCTCCCCCAAGTGCTGCACAGCATCTCCCATTGCCCCATGCAGGTGGCCTGGCAAAGGCAGCCTGGGGCTGTCCCCAGCCCTGCTCAGGTGGTGGGACAATGGGGACGGACCCACCTGGAGCAGTTGCCGCAGTCGATGATGGCGTTGTAGGTGGCGTTGACGGTGCTGAAGTAGTACTGGGTCTGCTTCATGATGCAGCTTGTCTCCCTGGCCTCCATGCTGTCCCCCGCCACCTCCTCTGCGCCAGCACAGCACCGTGGGCCACGGGACATGGAACCCCCACCACAGACCCCAACCACATCCCCTGCCCACCCGAGCCAGGGACTCACCCGTCTGGAACCAGGTGCTGTAGGTGAGGCCGTACAGGAACTGCTGGAACAGGGACCTGCGGAAGGACAGCGCAGCCACATCAGCTGGCCCGGGTCCAGGACGCACTGGGGCCACCCCAGAGCGGAGGGGATGGGGCAGGACTCACCAGGCTGCAGCTGATGTCCACCAGGCGAGGCTCAGGAGATCAGCCACGGTGGGCTGCGGGCACAACCATGCAATCAGCCGGGCTGGAAAAGCCCTTTAAGCTCATCCAGTCCAACCGTTCCCCAGCACTGCCAAGGCCACCACTAACCCATGGCACCGAGGGCCTCGTGTACACGGTGTGTGAACACTCCTAGGGACTGGGACTCCAGCCCTTCCCTGGGCAGCCTGTTCCAATGCCTGAGCACCCTTCTAGTAAAGAGCTTGTTCCTAATACCCAATCTAAACCTCCCTGGCACAGCCTGAGGCCATTCCCTCTTGTCCTATCTCATTACGTGCCCAGCTCCCTCCTGGCTCCATCCTCCTGTCAGGCAGGTGTAGAGAGCGATCAGGTCCCCCTGAGCCTTCTCTTCTCCAGACTAAACAGTTCCTCATCAGACTTGTTTGAGAGGAGGGCAGTGGGCCAGCAGGTCCCACATGGGCTGATGGGAACACACTTACGGGTCCCCAGGCTCTTGGACCACTGGGAAGCCACCATTCCCATGGGTGCTCACCACAAAGACGCCCCGGGGTGCAGCACCCGTGTTGCTCTGGGCCTCGGGAGCACAGACGGACTGGAAGTCATAGGACTC